TAAATTTCACTGTGCTAGCTCAGCTGAAAGTCTATTCTACCTGTTCAGAAAGGTTAAGCCCCTTTAACCCACATCTTGTGACACCACTTCTCTTGTGAACGCCTGAAATCAATGTCCCTCATTGTCTCCCCTCCGCCAGGATTTCAGGAATTCCCAAGCTGGGAATGCTGCGGGAGGGCTTGAAGCTTTTCATCAGTCACTTTCTGCTGAAGAATGCTCCGTCACCGGGAGCAGCTGAGCAAGCATCGGTGCTGTCGGAGCGCGCTCAGGTCGCCTCCAGAGCCATGGAGGCCAAAGAGGCCAAGCTCAAACTGTAAAACACACACACACACACACACACACACACACACAGACTGACCTCACTAAACTGTGGAGAAGAAGAAGAAGGATTGTAAGAACACAAACCAACAATTTTCTGTGATGTGTGTTTTGGAGTTCTTGTACAAAGTTTTTGTTTTTATCTGAAAAACACAGATGCCTTTAGAGACACACAGATCTCAACACTCTGTATATTCTTTGATGCATTGTGTATTATATTGTGTGTAATAAATAACTAAGGTTTGATCATTAACACCATTTGTTTTGTTAACCCTTTGACATTTACATCTTCTACCTCCAAATTTTTATTTTATTTTTTTAATTTAACCAATATGGAAACTCGCCAACCTCGATAAAAAATCTCTTTTTCAAAGTGTCCTGGTCGAGACGGGAAGAAGCACAGTGTACAGAGTTTAACACAAACAACGAGCAGCCACACAAACAAATACAAAACAAACATGATTAGACAATAAAAAACCAAATAACAAATTTAAGCAGCAAATGTTTGTATAGATCACAAACACATCAGGGAGAACATCTACAGCCAGATGTTTCCGCCTCGGAGTCATTTAAACATTTGTCCATTTGTTTACAGCTTCTTAAAGGAGCAGTATGTAACTCTGACCCCTAGTGTTTAAAATGGGTACTGTAGTCCAGATTCTAAACATCATAGAGAGCTGCTGCCCCCCCCCCCTCCTTTCTAGAGATGCTCACACAGGTCACCATGTGGTGGACTCTGAAGCTTCAGTGTTTATCCAGCTCTGCATGGGTCTGTAAACCTTTCTGTGTTCTAACCTCTCTCCATTTTTCAAAAGCATCTCCAATATTGATCCTAGTTTGAGCACGTTTCTGCTCGTGGAGCTTATTAGAAACATGCAGAGGCTTTTTAGGTCAGGTACAATCACTTCTATCTGAACCACTTCTCTTGACCGCTTCCATCACTGCAACACCTGTTGACCTGATAACTGCTCTCATATCTGACAAACTGAGGGGCGTCCAAAACGGCCGTGTGGGGGGGTCGCCTTAAAAGCTCCTACCTTCTCTGGTCCAAACAAATCCAGAGCATTCAGAAGCAGAATCTAAAGTTAGAAGGAGGACATACTGGCTGCTGCATTGTTGTCAGAGAAGCCAGCACTTCAACATAACATGTTTCCTTAATGATCAGAGAGTAAGATACCTTTATCATCTCACTCTCTACACAGCTCACTGATTGGACCTTTAAAACAAGAGTCATTTAAACGTCTTTACTCTCTAAAAGCTTGACTTCCAAACACCTTCTCTCCTGCATCAGCTCTAATCTTGTATCATTTCTTCTTCTATGACCTGCGTTTTCCCTTCGACCTCGTACACACAGTCCATTACAGGAGCTAATGTTGTTAAATTCACACAGCTGGAGTTATTGTTCCCGCTTTAACGGAGTCTATTGACTCTGGTTTACAACAGAAACACACACTAATACAGTCTATCGCGAGCTTAAACACAACTGATCCGTGAATGTTTGTACAACTGTGTTTCGGTCCCTTTCTCTTGATATCTCCACTCGCCTCCTGCGACAGTGACAAACACGAGCAGCGAGAACAGAGAGGGACGGCGCTGTGGTTTCATTCAGTGTTTACACGCTCTGATGAAGTGACCCCCGGGGGCCGTGAGTCTGGTCTCTTCTGTTTGCTCGCTGACGCCGGCCTCTGCCCGCATGGTTAGCATAGCAGAGTCGTTCTGTTACATTTGATACTTGCTCTTATTAATAAGCTCCCGTCAGTGCCGTCTGTATCAATCAAGAGAGGCCGGAGCTTGTTGGAGGTCACGAACGGGCCACCAAGGTCAACCAAAGGAAATCTACTTCACTCGCTGCATCGTTGTATTTTATTTGTTAAACTCGTGGAGATTAAAAATGTATTTTCCAAAGAGTCCTGGTCGAGACGGTCAGCAGCAACAAACCGCACATACATACAGACAGAGAAGCCGCACATACAAAAAAAAAAGATTAGATATTAAAAGACTCAAATAACAAATTTAAACAACACATGTTTGTATAGATCATCCACAAACACATCAGGGAGAAAAACAAATACAGTCAGATGTCATTTAAACATTTGTCCATTTGTTTACAGCTTCATTAAAGGAGCAGTATGTAACTCTGACACCTAGTGGTTAAATGGGTACTGCAGTCTAAATTCTAAACATCATAGAGAGCTGTCTCCCCCTCCTCTCTAGAGTGGATGCTCACTCAGGTCACCATGTGGTGGACTCTGAAGCTTCAGTGTTTATCCAGCTCTGCATGGGTCTGTAAACCTTTCTGTGTTCTAACCTCTCTCCATTTTTCAAAAGCATCTCCAATATTGATCCTAGTTTGAGCACGTTTCTGCTCGTGGAGCTTATTAGAAACATGCAGAGGCTTTTTAGGTCGGGTACAATCACTTCTATCTGAACCACTTCTCTTAACCGCTTCCATCGCTGCATCCAATGAGAGCATTCATTCGTTCAGAGTAAAAACAGGAGCAGCAAACTTTTCCCCGGTTCAGTTCTGACTGTTTTAAACAGACTTTAAGAAAAGGGACTGAGGCTGAAGATTTGAAGTCCCTGACCCTGACTGATGGAGGTCAGAATTGAAAAGATTCAAAGAGAGACCTCGTGTGGATGGGAGTACAGAGGTATGACATTGCAGATCCCTGACACACAGACTAAAGGTTTGAGCAGCAGTGGTGTCTTTACGGAGACATAATGGGGCTACTGGAAGAACAACTGGAGAATGTGTGAGTTCAAAGGTGGAGACAAGTGGGCTCAATAGGCCCACTGTGCAGTCCATACACAGACCATTGTCTGCAGCCCTGAGCCACACAGACTCGCCGTCAGCTTCACCTGGCGCTCGCAGGTCGGCCGTGACCCTCAGCTGAACTTTGATTTGGTCTGCTAAAAAGCCAAAAGCAAACAGCCGAAGATAACCAGCATGTCGCTCAGTAATCCCGCTACAAACGGGACGGAATCAGTCCGACAGCTGATTACCGAGGGAACAATGACGCAGAATGTAAACACACGGCTGGATGACAGTTTCCCCATTCGCTTTTCATCATTATTCCATCTGTGACACAACGCAGAAACCAACACGGTTACATCCGTATGAATAGATTAGGCACACCTTTAATAAATTCATCTTTCATGCTTGTAAGAAATAAACACTGATGGGTATATTTGTAGAGGTCGTTTCTGATTTGTCTCGTCTTTAAACATGACTCAAAGTTTAAGTTTAGTGTTTGTGACGGGACGGCTCGGGGTGTTTTTAAATTCTTAGATAATCTGCTGTTTGTGTTTTTTTATTTTTTTTATTTTTTTATCGTGTCCTTTGCCGCAGGGCAAACAATTGCGAACAATTACAGTAAAGTATTGTAAATGAAGAACTCAGGAAAACTCCAATCATCTTCATAATTATTATTTGTAAAGCACTTTTTTAATGCAGGTGACAAAGTGCTTCACAGTGTGCAATAAAAACAAACAAGAGGGCGCCGGATAGCCTGGCGGTTAAGTTTGCGTGCCCCCATGTATGGAGGCCGTAGTCCTAATTACGGCGGCCGTGGGTTTGAATCCGACCTCGGCCCTCTGCTGCATGTCGCCCCCCCCCCCCCACTCTCTCTCCTCCCAACATTTCCTGTCTCTCTTAAGCTGTCCTCTCTAGTAAAATCAAAAAGGGCCGAAAAATATAATGAAATAAAATAACAACAGAATTAAAAATTAGAAATAAAATAAAATAACAGAGTGAAAGCGTTTTGTGGAGCGTCCTGAGATGAGAAATAACACGCACACACTGGGGCCCCTGAAAGGTAGCGTGAACAAGCCTTTCTGCAGACGCCATGTATTCACACAGTGCACTGTGTGGATCAGTAGCTGTATCCTCAGCCTCAGCTTTTGGAGCTGAGGCTGAGGTCCTGGTGCAGGTCCTGGTAAAGTCCAGCATTTAAGTTCAATGGACCGTTTACATCACCAACAAAAAGCCGTCTTAACCATTTTAAGGTGTATGTGGTATCATATCTTAAATTTAAGATGCATTATATTTTTGTCCCACATGCAGAGGGGCCCCTGAAAGCTCCCCCCTTTATGAGCGGCCTTGCATGTAGGCAAACTTTGTGAAAATAAGTGTAGTATTATTTCTAACTCTAAATTAAAAACCAAACTTATTTTTGAATATGTGGAGAGTTATTCTTGAAATGCTTTCAGCCACCTTGTCGCTCAGCGCGCCGTTTGAAGGCTTTCCTTAACGCGAGCCCATTGTCAGTGTGGTGTGAAATGTTTCCCCCGTCTGCCTGCCTACTTGCTGTTTGCTCTCACTGCACGTTTGCACACATCCGACAGCGCTATTAACAGTAATTCCCATGACCCGAGCTGTCAGAGCAAGGAGAAAAACACCAGCCTCTGTCCGCGTCCGCGCCGCATCACACCGCCGTAAATCAAAGGGGGACTATTTTCTTTAAACAAGAAAAAAAAAACTCACTCAACTGAGATGTATACAAAAGAAAACACACTTTATTTCACATTGTTTGCACCAAGAATGACGCTAAACAAATCATCCAGCATGCACTTGTATTACTTTTTATAAATACAGTATATAAAAATAAACGTAACTTTTTTTTTTCCAGCGTAAATTTGAATCACTACGGGACGCCATATGGAACAAAAACAGGCCAAAGTAAGAACAGACATTGAACCATCAGTTGTGGTGTGAGCTGTAGGATATTATTGAACTTTATTGCCTAATAATGAAGCATCCTATAGAATCCTGAGCCAGTTTACAGCGAATTAAAAACCATGCAATGAGTCACAGTTCACCTGCAGCCGAGTGCTGAAAGGTGAGGGAGCTCTCCTGAATTATTGCTTTTCACGTTGATCAAACTGTTGAATATATTTGACCCTAATTTATATTCTTCTGGACAAAACAAATGCTCATAAGGTTCATTGGAGGATTACATGCAGCTGCATCAGTCTTTATAAACGGAGCTCGTCACCTCCGGCCCTCTCCGTCTTCAGGGCTGCGGGCTGATGTCGCTGCCGTGGTTCCTTTCGTCGTCCGATGAGCAGTCCGACGAGTTGTACAGGAAGTGATCGCCCTCGTCGTCGTCGTCACTGTCTCTGAAGTCTCTTATTCTGCCGTTTTTTGAGTCTGTCTTGCTTTTATAGTCCGACTGTTCGAGTCCCTCGGATTTCTCCTGGCTGCTCTTGCTGCCCTTCTTGTTCTCGGCCTCCTGGGCCGCCTGCTCTTTGGCCTTCTTACTCCTCTTCCACTTCATGCGTCTGTTCTGGAACCAGATTTTCACCTACAGAAAGAAATAAAAACACATTTATTTTAATGTATTTATTCATAAGGAGGCTATCGCTTTGCGTAATGACGCGTAAACTTTGCGTAAAGGTTGACTATCTCACCTCCACGGTTTTACTATTATCCTGAAATTAATTTTATCCATACAATTATTTGATATATCTCGTTGATACACAGACAAAATCATTAATTGGATAAACTTGATGACATTTACAAATGCATTTTTTTAAATAAATGTTAATTTTCAAAGTGCACAACAAAAAAAACAAAACAAAACAAAACAATGGAATTTAACAGGACAGCACCAAGACTCACAGACATGGACCAACATGTAACCTCATGTGTTACAAACTGCAGGAATCTTTAAAAACTACAAATTTTACAAATTAAATTTAAACCAATGGAGTAAAAAGGGAGACTACTCGTGCAAAAATAATCTGAAACAGTGCGGATGCGTAATATTCAAAAAAAGAAAATAAACAAACTAAACATGAATGTGCTGTTAATTTGAAGACAGAGGAAACTAAGTGCGATTTGTCACCTGAGTTTCTGTGAGCATGAGGGACGTGGCCACTTCAAAGCGCTTGGGTCGGGACAGGTACTTGTTCAGTTTGAACTGATGCTCCAGCTCCAGCAGCTGCTGACTCGTGAAAGCAGTTCTTGGTCTTCTGCATTTGCCCAGCAAGTTGGACTGCGCCTGAGCTGCAATAACAATAAAAATCAAACATTTAATAACACATTATTTCAGTTATTTCTGGCATCAACTGAAAACGAAGAGATAAAAAACGAGGAGGCCTTTCCCAAAGCTGACAGCTATCTATCTGTTCCACTATAGTGTCATAATGTCTACATTTCTCTGCTCATGCTTTAAGCTACAAGGTCATCCACTTATGAATATTTTCCGTGCAGGAGTTATTTGCCCCTTCGTTTGGAACAAATCTGCTAAAACGAGCAAAAACAAAAAAGGCAGTATCTGGTGAGCAAATAGCATGTCGACTGTGGGTTTCACACTCCTCCGCCACTTTCCCACTGTCCATTATCTGTCCATTTTAGTTCCTCTCAGAAAAACCCATCAGTGTGTGACAGCCTCTCCATTCAGAACATCACATATCGGAGGGAAATATGTGCAGAAAAATCTCTAAAAAAGCTAACTCTACTTTTAGGGAAATAAAAATTATAACGTTTCTATATCTGAGTGTGAGGAACAGATTAGAAGAGGCCCCAAATGTTTCATCATGAAGGTCTCAGTATCTTTTTATAGACATCATTTTTATCAGCAGAATTATAAAACACAAAATCAGCCCTTTTTTTGGCGACCATGCTTTATTGTTTTTTTTTTTAGGATTTCAATGCCAGAAGGCTTTAAATAAAAACATCTACTTACAATTAAAGTCTGACATTTTGGGCAGCATCATCCCGGCCGTGGAGACCCGCAGCCAGTGGTCCAGCTGGAAGGTGCTGGCTGTCAGTTTGATGGGATCGTTGTGGTGATGATGGGAGCCGTGCGGGTAGGAGGAGTAGGACAGGGCAGGGTGTTGGCCTGCGAGCGCAGCCGCGGAGTAAGTGTACATGGGATGACCGTACAGAGCCTGTGCGGGGATTCCTGCGGTGGTCTGCGGGTGTAATCCAACCATGCTGTGTGGACTGTTGAGAAACCCCGGTTTAGGAATCAAACCGCAGGTGGAAATCCTCGGAGGAGAGGGGGTCTCTGTGCGTAAAGACTCCGCGCTGGTGCTCAACTCCGAGGATCCAACGCGGGACGGGATGATGGAGGAGGAGGACAGGGAAGTGACCAGCGCCAGCGGAGAGGTCTGCACTTTGGGGGTATCGACTGCTAACAGCGCGTCAATTCGAAAGTTTTTGGACTTCTCCATCGGGGCCGCCTGATGCGCGTCCTTGTCGCCTCTTGCCTGCCTGCTAACGAAAGGAGAAGTAAAGCGCCGTTTTCCCACCTCTCAACAGTTCTGATATGCTCCAGAGTGTGAGAGTGGAGCTCCGTGTCACACTTAATCCCCGACAGATGAAGGCGATTGGTGCAGCCGGCTGCAGGGGGGCCGGCCCACGCGTCACAGAAACCAACACCGCCTCTCTGCTCTCCTCACTGTGCAGCAGCGCGATTACTGCCTTCATAAATTCACTTTTAAAGAAAAATGGCGCAAAATATAGAATGTGAACAATTCAATGAAAGCTGGATGCATTTTTTTTATTGCCTATATTTAGGCCTAATTCATGTACAGTGTTTGTTTGGAGCACAGCTGTCCAAAGGGAGTAAGTCTGCTCCTCTGGCTGCTTATTTTTCTGGGACTGTCCTGAGGTTTAAATATCCAACATAACAAAGATCACCATTAGAACGAATTAAAACAATCAAATATGTAAATCCCAGTGAGTTCATGGGATCAATATCTTTGAGTTCTGCACTCTATTTATTTTTCCAGAAGGCGTAAAGGGTCCAGATTTTCTTTCATTGGCCTGATTTAAAAGCAAAGGGTTTGCTTTAACTCGAGCTGCATGCATTATGCAAAATAACTTTATTTATGATACACAATAAAATAAAAAAACATTGACTTCATAGACCTAACATAGGAAAGTATTTGGATGCGTTTTTGATGTAAAACTGGATTTTCAGTTCAGGCCTATTTTCTCTTGTTAAAAAGCAAAAGAAGTAGGCCTACATATTTCCTTTAGTTGGGGGGTTAAATAAAAAAAAATCAAAGCATGCTCAAACATGAACATCTTGAGCACCCTGAGAGGCCAACAGGGAAATTTAAGTAAAAGCCCTCCTTCTGTCGCTGCAGAGCTGAGGCTGACAGACGCAACACTGCCCTCCTGTAATGGAGATATATGGCCTGCACGTTTTGATTGAAACCCTCAACCACTCTACAATCATTCTGATCAGCCAGCAGCATTTATTCTGAGATTCTTGGTGATGCAGGTTCGTGCGCGGACAACTAAACATCTCTGCTGTAATGATGGGAATATGATGGGCAACGTTTTTTTAAACAGAAAAAGACAAGAAACTGGATTTTTCTTCCCGGCTTTGAGTATCTGTCAAAATCAAATTTGGACCCAATGTGAACACAACGAGCAGCCAAACATGAGCTGATTGAAAAGGCCGATTGAAAGTGTGCTGAGGAAAGATGGAGCTAATAGGCCCGTGGCTCTGGGTGACTCCGGTCTAATAAGCCACTTAAAGTTAATGGAAGAGGAGGTCAAAATGAGAATTATTGACACCCAGTTGCCCTTAACCTGTCTACCAATAAAGCTGATTAGTTTTTGTCAATTCATCAGCTGAGCGCGCTCCGGGGACGTTTTATTTGCTCGGGGGAAATCAACAAGTCACCGGGTAGTTTTCAAGTAAAGGATCGCCATTTAATTGTGGACCCTGATGATCATGACCAATTACAGGATGATAACGGGGAGATTGATGTGGGGTGGGACGTTCACGGACCTGCATGGAGACGTGGAGAAGAAACAGAGAGGAGGAGGAGGAGGAGGACGGAGTGAGTAGATGTCTTTATTTGTGAAATGTGTAAATGTGTGTGAGTTTCAGAGGTCTCCACTTGTTGAAATATTTCTGAATTATCCCTGGTTATCGGCTACCTTTTGTTTTTATTTTTTAAAGTGTTTCTGTTGATTTGTTTTCCTCTAAAAGCCTTTATTTAAAAAAAGAAAAGAAAACAGCGTTAAGAAAGCAGCATTTAAAAATATTTGAAAGGCCTTAATATAGAACACGTGATGCTCCACATCGAGAGTTTCATTTGGAATTCCTCTCATCGATTCAACTCATTTTCACGCCCTTCCTCTTTTTCCCTCCAACAGCAGGACTCCTTCCCTTGTCCCCCATCAGTTTAATTTCATTAAAGGCCCCCCCACATGAATATTTCTATTAAAGCAGCGGTGAAATATGGAGCCATTTAGTATTGGCCTTCACCGATCACCGCAGATTTATTGCTCCTCTTCATCACATCCAGGGGGGGTGGTGAGGAGTGAGGGGGGAGGAGGGGGGAAGGGGGGTGAATAAGGCACCCAAGACGGAAGCAGATCCTTCAAAACCAAAAAAAAAAAAAGCGTTTAATTTCCTCTGTAATTACTTTGACAATTAACTAAAATACAAATCACGGTGACAAATCGGGACAGTTTTGAATTACGTTCTCTGAATGTGGTCATTATAAAAAAGATGAATTTAAAAGCACATGCTGTGTCTCTTCTAATCCAACAAACAGGTTTTGTTTTAAAGGACGCTGCTATAGAAATGTGTTAAAAAGCTGTTTTTGTTTTAGCAAGTTATATTTTATTTTCCTCTCTGACATTTAAGCGTCTCTCCAGTGAGCTGTTCTACATTTATATTAAAAATATAATCTGAATGTCAATAATAAACATACATATAATCTCTTTTATTTACCATTTAAAGCAAACAACCCTAAACATTGAGGTAATAATAATAATAACTTTTATTTATAAAAACAGATGTTTACAAAGTGACAGACAAAGCAAAGGCAGGAAGTCAACAGTCAGCCAAAACAGGTAAAAACAACAACACAAAAACTCATGGACAGTCAACATATTGTAACATATTAATGCACATTTTCATATATGCACAAAACATAACGTTGCAGAAAAATAAGGATAAACTGACCGATCAGGGCGATGATATCCCCGAGGGGAGATTCTGGTTTTTACTCCGTTATTGAGAGACATGCAAACAGGACCTGTGGACATGCATTAGTGGAGAGATGTCAGAGGGAGGCTGCTACTGCCTTGCTCAAGGGAACATCGGCAGAACCTTGGAAGTGACCTCTCCATCTACCTGACCTTTGATCCTCACCTGGACTTAAAAAAAGCAACCCTACAATTCTCAACCCAAGTCCCGACAGGCTGAGCTACTGCTGCCTCCAACATCAGTTTAACAGCCATCTTTCTCCTTTGATCTCAGACCTCTCTCTCTCTGTGTGTGTGTGTGTGTGTGTGTGTGTGTGTGTGTGTGTGTGTGTGTGTGTGTGTGTGTGTGTGTGTGTGCAGGCTGGATCAAAAGTTCTGTAAAATTATACTTAAAGTAGGCCTTCATCCTGGAATAATACAAATAGGATTAATGCAGGAAAGTAGCTCTACGGTAAAGACTTGCTAAATAAACCCAACAAGAGCTGAATCTTCAATCTTTACCATGTAATTTAAATTTAATGTAATGTAAAGTTTTGCACTTCGGCCTTTTTGGTTGACTTTCTTAGACTGTGTCATTTATTCGTAAAATAATGGTTATTTTATTTATCTATGTGTGAAAATGATACCATCTTTTTTTGACTGTGGCTGAACTGACTTGTGCAGGGGTAACCCAAAGTGTTAAATGGTAAACGCTTGAGCTTGATCACACCTACACATTCACACCCTGATGGTAGAGGCTGCTGTGTAAAGAGTCCATCAGTATTTATTTACTAATCCCATTTGAATCATTCTTTCACCAGCAGAGTGTTTTAAATGGATCACAACAAGCGTTATCACCCTCCAGAGAGTCAGGTGCTGATACACAGGCACTTTCCAGTTGAGTGACCATTGTGTCTTCATTATAAATCTTTTCCACAAGTGTTGGGATCAACGCAATACATGTGAATATATTCATCTATCTATCGATCTCTAAAGCTCGAAAATAGATCTATGAAAGATCAGCCAATATATCAGTATCGTGTTTCTCCCTAATATTGTTATACAGTACATATCGGCCAAGCTGCAACCTCCTGCAAAGCAGATGCATAAGTGTAAAATCCTACAGTTCCTCGAGTGTCCACTAGAGGCTGGCTGCAGGAGCGCAGGAAGTCACATACACACCCATTAAAAAAAAGTCTGTTTTTTCAGCAGAGATGAACATGTTTACAGCCTGGTTCAAAAAAACCAAATAGGTGTGATTAGTTTTGTTATCATGGGCACACATTGTACACAGGGTGAATTTAATGGTATCGGCTAGGGCTGGGAAATATATATCGAGTTTTTAAGATATATCGATATATTTTCAAACAAGATATAGGGTAAGACGACATTGTTAATATGGATATAGTTTATGTTGCATTAAAATAACGTTACAGAGGTGCCAGGTCACCTTTTCTCATCTCACTGATGATGACTGACTGTCTGCTCCTCCTCTCTCTCTCTTTTATTGTATTAAAGGAACATTTTTATTTTATAATATTACTTTTTAAATTCACAAACAGGTTGTTTATTTTTCATGTGTTTTCACTGTTAATAAAATACATATCGATATATATCGAGTATCGCCATTCAGCTAATCAATATCGAGATATGAGTTTTGGTCCATATCGCCCAGCCCTAGTATCGGCCCTAAAAATACCATATCAGTCGAGCCCATTGTTTTATCATCGAGATTTATGCAGGGTTTTTCCTGCATAGAGAATTCTTTGGCACCCCCTCATAGAGGTTTTACCCAGCGCCAAAGGAAATTCACGAGCGCCAAAAGAAGAAAAAAGACGATTCAAATTGCAAATCAAATCCTCTCTGAATGTATGTTAAAAATATCAATACATCAAACGATGAAATGCACAGATTTCTGTCAAATAAGGTAATACAGACTCGTAGACTATACTGTAATACATAGGTCGAATGTTTACTACAGCGCGTATTGTCGCCCCCCAAAGGCCCGTTCTGAGCCAGGAAAAACCCTGTTTATGTATATATACAAGTTAAAATTCAGAGTCACAAAAAGTGAACACATCTCTTGTCAAAAGACACAGTAGAGGGGACGCAATGACCAAATTTAATAATTTAAATGTTCAGGAAACTGAAAAAATGAGCAATTTACTTCAAAAACCTGTTTAAACATTTGTAAAAAAAATAAATAATTGGCGGGAAAAAAAAGATAAAGAATAAAAGATATTCTCTTAATCTTGTTTTTAATGAAATATTTAGAAGTTAGGCACCAGATTTTTTTTAAATTATTCCGACAGGACGACTAATAAACGGCACAGCTGCTCAAACACAACTGCTCTGGTTGAGAGGCGGGTCTGAGCTGCCCCGGATATGATTGACACGGTGTCTGTCCAATCAGCTTCCAGGTATCCAAACAACCGGAAGCAGTTAAGCTTGCAGTTCCCTGTGTTGTGTTGATTTCTAGGAAAGAGAAGGAAAAAGAGATTCTTCTTTTGACGTTTGGATTAACCTTAGCTGCCTTCCCAGAGTTAGTGAGTCACTTTCACTCCTTAATACTAAAGAATCAAAGGTAAACGATTCTCCTTGTCACGTGTGTGTCCTGTAAAAGAAAACGTTCAGTTAGCCTCTCAAAGTGGTTAGCTGCTGTGCTAACTAGCTGCTGTGCTAACGTCAACAAAACCACGTTACTCACAAATACATTAAAAAAACAAAACAGCGCTGCGACATGACACGAAGAGTTGTTTCGTGATTTAAAGCCTCCGTTGCTCTTCTGGTGTCAGATAATGTTTGTAATGTATTTAAAGCTTGACAGCTGCTGAGTCATTAGCTAGCGATGCTAACCGGCGAGCTAACTATTGTTGAAACCAAAAAAACCCGGATAATTAATGAGATTTAAACCTCCTGACACGCTGTAAACATTCACAGTCTTTACTGGTTTATTTACTCAAGTTAACAGCTGACACATTGGGCTTTATATTTCTCTTTTTATCTCACATATCTTGTGTTTATAAGTTAGGTTATTTCTGTTTGATTCATGAAGTGATTCAGTACGGAGGCCCTGAAGGGACACAAACTAAAAAAACATTAAAAAATAATATATATATATATTTCACACAAGTTATTATGTTTTTTGTGTGCACAAGTTAGATGACAGCTTGTGGACATTATGATATCTTTGTGTGTGTGTACAGTAAATGAACTCGTGTGCACCAGCATGGGGTCAACATCTGTATCAGCTGTTATGACGTCACCAAATGATGTGACGTGAGCTGATGTCAGTAGCCGATTGTTGTCGTATCAATTTAAAGCTGGCACGTACACCTCAGTACTGATTCAGAGACTAGGGGTGCGTTCAAATTGTCCCTCTTATCTCCTTTCACTTTCCACTTTACCTTAAACCCGCGGAAGCATTTCAGTGGCGGTTTGAATTCTCTAAAAGTTAAGGAAAGGTGGGTCTATGCTTCCTTTATAACCTCCTTTAGGATACACTGGACCATCCTTTACCAAAGGAGATGAGATATGACGTCCCACAATTCCTTGCGGCCGCAACATTTAAAGCGAGTCGCTCATCCGACCGTTCAGGAACATGAACGATGATCGTAAAGTGACTCAGATCATGAAAGAGATAAAAGATAAGAGACATTTTTATCAGATGATGTTTTATTCAACATATTTCATTCACTTAAGAATGTTTTGTGCTGCTGTAATTTGTATAAAACATGTGTAGGTTATATCTTACATTAATGTAACAATTAATTTCATATTGATGTTGATGTTGATTTCTGATTGGACAGGAAGCTGATGGTTTCACTTTTCTTACTTGTAGCCTGTGGTCTATATTTCTTTTATTTCAATCCCAACCTCGTGGTGATCAGGATTATTTCACCGGTAAGAAGCACAGGGGAAAGTTTATCAGATGCATTTTTTGTAGTCCATTTTCTGAACATTGTAGTTTTAACACAGACAGACCCACGTCATTAACCTCCGCCGGCCCGTCGCATTTAATGACGTGGCCTAGTGGAAATGTGGTCGGATTGTCAGAGCAACGAGATCGCCTTTCCCTAAGTCCTTTATGAATTCTCCTAACATCTTTCCTTAACCTCGTGACCTTTTCCCCGGGGTTAAGGTGAAGTGGATAGTGAAAGGAGATAAGAGGGACAATTCGAACGCACCCTTGGTTTTTTATTGGCAGAGGAAGTCACCAGACAAACACTGACTTGGTTTCATGGTCGAACGAGAGAGGAAATGGAGGCATCACGGGGAGGCTTACACCAAAATTATTCATGAAACTATCAGCAATCGTATAATTGGTATAGGTATCGGACCGGATGTTCCCGATCGTTTCATCTCTAGTGCGCACATACTTTAAAAAAAAACAAACTTTTAGGCACTTCAGGGGCTCCGTAGGATTGCACCTAAACCACCTCATATTCAAAGGGGGGTCCAACACACCACACACAAAAACAAGTGACACGGACACATTCAACAACACATACAAAGGCTCTCACACACCAGCACATTATTCCCTTATCGCCACCATCACAGTGTGAACAGGGACTACATTTCCCATCGCATATTACGCTAATAACATTGATTACATTGAAACTACTGGTGGTGAAAACAAAGGCTACAAGCAGGAGCCTTATAATTAAAGGGACAAGGAAGACACGAGTAATATGTTTTTAAAGGCTCGGTGAAGCTTCTAACTGGATCCCTTTTTATTTTCAGACATCTGAGTTGCGTTAAGTTGCTACAGCTGAAAACACCCAATGTGCAACGCCGGAGAGTCACGATAACGCTTGTTCCATGAACTGACTCCTGTCACCGTTCACTTTCACGTATTAGATCTAACCACAGCGTTTTTCCGTCTCATTTTCTCTTTCAGATATTAGCGACATCCTCTGAATCAGTCGATGGGAAAAATCTGACAATGTTCAGCTTTGAGGGAGATTTCAAAACAAGACCCAAGGTGTCACTTGGAGGAGCGAGTAAAAAGGTTAGTTAAAAAATGTCCGTCCGTCGCTCAGTTGGCAGAGTCGGTCGTCTCTCAGCCGTAAGGTTGAGGGTTCGATCCCCAGCTCCTGCAGCCACATGTATGATGTGTCCTTGGGTCAGACACTTCGTCTGAGGTGTATGAATGGATGAGTTACTTCTGATGGTCTCTTTACTCAGCAGCCTCAGTATGAATGTGTAGGTGTAAAAGTGCTTTGATCAGTCAGAGGACACTACAGTGTAAAGGAGCACTCTGAAAGTTTTCCTCTTGTGTCTGTGTAGGAGGAGAAAGCGTCTCTGCTGCACCGCACTCAAGAAGAAAGACGAAAAAGAGAGGTAACTGTTCATTGGTGTAAAGTTTTATTTACAAGCTAACCCTGAAATGCCACAAAAGGTTTTTTAGTCCAACACAATCACAACATCTCGACCAGATCTCTCCAGCTGTTCCACAGGTTAACCCCCTTTTGTTGTGACACAGTGTAGCCTCACGTTCTGGTCCTTACTGCTTAAATATTCCTCTGAGGTCAGGTTTACTTTCCCTCCTCTTACATACTGCTGATGACGTTTTACTCTGGACGTGATTTGTTTTGAAGCCGACCAAGTCCTTTACCTTTCAGTGTTTTCAGTTTAAATGAGACTCAGCTGATCCATATTTAAAAACATCGTATAATGTCAGGATGTCCAAACTAAAGGCCTCTGCACACTGAGTCCATCTCACAATGCTGTTCAATAGGTGTCCCGTGTCATAGTCATGGTATCGTCCTCGACCTTGTTTCAGTGGTCAGGAAGGTGAATCATTTCCAACATGTTTTCTTTAATTGTTCAGGATGAAAGAAAACGACTGAAGAACGCCATTATCATCCAGTCCTATATACGTGGCTACCAGGATTTGAAACGACAGGTAAGTTGTATATTTAGCTTGTTGTTGAGTCAGACAATAACACCATCCGTCCCGATTTCAAGCTCTGTGTCTAGGGTCCTCACAAATGTCTATAAAACACTAATGAAATACCAAAACAGTACACTATTCTGCTACACTGATTTGTCTGTACATGTGTCAATCAATCTCAGGGTTGCGTCTGTAGCTTAGTTAGCCTAGCTTAGCGTACTAACTGGTCCTGCTGTGTAACTACAGGTTGGAGAGCTGTCATACTGAACAGGAAGTCAGCGTTTTCCAAAGAGCTCCAGGAGAGTTACAGCTCTGTTTATTGCAAGTTAAATTGTGTCATTCAGGACGCATTAAGAATGGGGCTGCCTGTCTCATGGTTGTTTTTATGAGACTCAAAGAAACCTGAGTTCAGCGTTGCCAGTAACCTAGCACTTAGTGCACGCCTCATGTACGGAGGCTAAAGTCCTGGAGAGTGGACGGCACAGGTTCAAATCTGACCTGTTGCTCCTTTCCCTACTCTCTCCCCTCGGTTCCTACTCTATCCACTGTCCTATCTCTAAATTAGAGGCACAAACTGTTTCCTTAAATGCATTAAACAACACATTTGTGATATTTAAGACATGTGACGTTTATGCTACTTCCAGTATGCCACTCAGAGGGCCAGGTTCGACGAGTGTGCCAGCCAGAAGCTGGCAGGGGGAGCTCAGCGCTCCTTGGACGGTCCTGGTCTCAGCCTTCTATCAAGACAACTCATATTTTTCTACAGACAGAGTGTGGATGCACATAGATTGGTGAGCATTTTAAACATCTTCAGTGCTCTCAAACGCCAAGAGATTTGACACTTGGCATTTTACGAGTTGTGTCTGTTTTGTGTGTTTCCAAAGATATGGTTGTGCCAGAACCTGGTGAAACTCAACAGTCAGTTTGTGCAGCTGCTGCTGGGCCAACAGAGAGATACATGTTTGTTTCAGATCAAGAGGATCTTAGGCTTCTGCTGCAGGTACAGTAGTTAAAAGCATTATAATAATGGAGTCATAATTTCAGCTGTTATATGCATGATAAAAAGCTTTGTCACTCTCTTACTGGTCCCTTTTTTTTTTGCCTCCGCAGACTGCTACAAAACTGTAACGATGATGGTTTAAATGTGGCTGTTCCCATGCGGATGCTAGAAATCTTTTCTTCAGAGAAAACCTATCTTCCCGTTAATCAAGATGCTAACTATGTAGCTTCTTTACTAGAGCAGATTTTGCACTATATGGTACAGAAAGGTAAGCACACAGGGATTTGATTCCAGAGTCTATAATAAATAAACTTCACACATAAAGGAGTGTTTAGAGATGATGTTGAGCTGCTGTCTAAATATCTTTAATTTCTCCTTCTGTGTTCTCTCCAGGATACTACCGGTCGCTGTATATTCTAGTGAATCACAGACTTCCTTCCAGTCTGGATTACAGCGACGCTCCCTCTGTCCCACTAGCAAGCACACTGTTGGAGCACATTCTAAAACCTCTGCACTTTACCTACTCCTCCTGCACAACAGGCGCAAGGTACAGCACCAAAAATTCAGCCATGAGATTTAAGTTATCCAGTTACACTCCACACACTTTTCCATTTACTTCCATGTAGTCAGGTCTCAAAATGATGACTTATTTGCGGCAATAGATCTGGACTAAATACAATTTTAAAAACAACTTTTTTATCATTTGCAAAAGAAGAATTGTCTCGTGAACATAATGTGTTACCCTCACCTTTAAACTCTTCAGAGAATCAGGTCACAAAGATAGACAAAGCAGCAACCTGTGTGTTGAAGACAGTTCCTCGAGTGTCCACTAGAGGCTGGCTGCAGAAGCACAGGAAGTCACATACACACCCATTCTAAAAAGCCTGTTTTTACAGCAGAGATGAACATGTTTACAGCCTGGTTAAAAAAACCAAATAGGTGTGATTAGCTCATGTCTGGATGGACACACACTGTACGGGGGGTGAATGTTTTGATGACTCATCAGTTTTGATTTGATGAAGGATAAGAGTTATTCACAATAAGGCGTGTAGCTGACCTGATTGACAGGTGGGCGCGGTGTAACGGTTTGTCAGGAGGTTTAAAACCCGCCTCAGCTCCAGCTCTCAGCCTGTCGTTAGGTTGACTGAAAGTTAGACTGAGACAGCATTTCCAGCATGGAGACCGCCATCGATGGGACAGGAACAGATGGATGATGATGAAACATTAATATTTACAGATTATGAGATAACCTCAAATCAGTGATGTCTGTCGACCGCTCAAACTGCTGCTTGTCAGTCACTGACACATGACGACTGCATGGCAGGGAATTTTTTGTCTCTGGTGAATTCTTTAAAAAATCCTCCATTAAACTGATCAGATGAACTACAGCAGTTTTTTTGTCCCCTGTGGTCAGCGGTAATTGCTTCGAAGACTAATTTACAACAAGCCATAAAAGTCCCCGAGACTCACTCGCCCGCCGGAGTGCAAAAAGTCAAGCTGTTTGCCGTCGATTTCAGACATTCTCAAAAACAAACGACAGGGACCTTCTTTTATTCTTTGAAGAAAAGCAAGGCGGGAGTGAGAGAAACTTGTGCACACACTAACTCTTACAGCTAATTATCTCACTTCACCCACCAGATGTGTGTGACGGGGCCACACAAAGCCGCTCTGTTTGGAGACACAATATTGGAACAGAATGAGCAAAGTGATGTTATAACAAGTGAGTTTATGCCCTGGATTCGACTTGTGTTTTTTGTCTTGTCTTCTTGCAGGCAGTTTGTATTTGCAGCCTTTACTGAGGAGTTCATCTCTGCACCGTTCACCGAGCAGATCTTTCACTTCTTTATCCCGGCACTGTCCGACGTCCGTCTCTCGTTCCCCTTCGAGGCCTTCCTGAGCTCCCTCCAGGCCACCATCAGCTCCTCTTCTTCGCCTCAGAGCAAGGCCCCCTGGGTGTTTTACTTTGTCCTCTCTGCGGGGGAGAACTGCTTAGGTGGGTGGTTTTAAAATGTCCATGGCTCCTTTGAAGCATTATCACTTTTATGCAATTCATAGAGATGAAGATATGTGGATTTGCACAGTAATGTGATGATGTCATTGTGTTGGCAGCCTCGCTGTCAGAGGAGGGTCTCCTTCTGTATCTTCGGGCTCTGCAGACGCTGCTGCCGCTGCTGCCTGTGTCTGAGAGCAGCAGCAGGCCTGAAGTCAACAGCGACTCAGAGGATGAAGACAACACTGGCATCCATCCACCGCCCATGCAGGCAAGATACAAACATTTTGTAGCTATGACAGAAGTTCCACTCTTATGCGCAGTCATTGCCGTACCAAAACAGATATTCTTAAATAAAACAAATATCATAAAAAACATCATCTTTGCTCCGTTTCTGATCCGGGAAATAAACAAACTAAAATAAAAAGACATGCAGTAAAAGGTAACGGAGCAGTGGTCATACAGCGGCCAGACTGTTGTCATAGAGACGGGACGGACGTGCAGCACTTTTTCCTCAGCTCACTAAGTCCCGAGCGCACAAACAGCGCTTCACTTTCCCCAGAAAAAACTTGAGGTGAACATTTGAATCAGTTGAAGTAAACTTGGATAAAGTGCTAATTAAACACATCCCAAAGATACTAACATGTCAGCTGAACATCACAAATCCCTCGCATTTCCTCCCCCAGTCTTCTTACCCCACATATTCCCTTCCTCACCAGGATAACACCAGGATCTCTGTGCAGCTGATCACAGAGGAGTGTGTGCGCAAGCTGGACACGAAGCATCAGACCAACGCATTGCTCAACCTGGTGTGGAGGGACTCGGCCAGTGAGGAGGTTTTTACTATGATGGCATCCATCTGTCACACGCTCATGGTGCAGCATCGCCTCATGGTGCCAAAAGTCAGGTCAGGACCCAATTTTTATATACGACCTTGTGAACCATAATTTACCAAAAACAAAGGGATTTTTTTTTTTGTTTGGCATTCCTCGATGTGCAAATGAGTAAAGACGTTAATGTATCATGTCTCCCACACATACACGACACCTGGACAGGCCACCCGTTTATATTTGTTTTCTTTGCCTTATCCATAAAGTAAAGCATGAGAGAGAGAGAGAGAGAGAGAAGTCTGCTGCCCGTGTGTCCCTCCCGTGAATGCCATGATAGTGGTGCTACGTTTCACCCTGTTTGAATATTTCTCTGCAGCCGCGGTGATTTTGAGTGACTTGTTGTGATGCGCTTCATACCTGTCATCGAGTGCGGATCTCCTGATGTGATAGCGGGTGATGTGTTTGAGCGTCTCAAACGTACTGCTGGTGAATGTGGTTGAAACACACAATAAACAAAGCCAAAAAGTTGCACTTGAACACACCGCAAAGACTACAGCCGACGGCCAACCACATAGCATGACAACAAACTTAAAGCCCCTTCTCAATTTAATTCTACATCATAACGTTTAAAACGTCTTGTCGAGGAGCATTCCGGCGTCCAGAGAGCATGTTTACACATCCGACTGATTGAGAGGAAAACTGTGTAAGCAGTAATGTAAATAACGGGGACGCGAGGCAGGCAGTTATCAGTGATCCGCACCCTCTGGCATTTACAACCGGCAAAGGAAGCTGGGATGTCAGGGAAGCTGTCAGCTGTGGATGAGGGCAATTACCCCTTCTCAGGTTGATTACATTAGGACCAGGATGTCAGAGGTTGGGTGCATTGACTGACGGGAGGTGATCCAGACTGAGCTCTGTGGATACTCAACCTGCTCTAGTTAATTATTAGTAGAGCCAGTGGATGTAAATGTGTGTGTGTGTGTGTGTGTGTCTGAAGACTATCTTGTTGATATATTACTGTGTGTCTCTTTTAGAGGCCGTGGCTTTTACAAAACTGAACGTTAAAGGATAAAAACAAATGTTTCTCCTATAAAAAAATAAGGGCCCGAGTCTTAACGTCGGCTGGTAATGTTTCAGGATTTCTATCGGCTGCTTGATCAGAGTTTAGAAGATTCTTTCTGTTCGCATCCAGTTTCTTTTTTAATATGGCTTCCTCCTTCTCTTCGCTTTTACCATAAATCCTGCCCCTTCGTCTTCCATCATTATTGGATATCTGTACAAAATAATTAGCTCACTGAGAAAGATTAATCACTGCAGGAGTGGACGGGATAGCTTTACAAGAGGCTAAGGGGAGCAAATTGCATCCCGGCCTTGATTTACTGCTCATACAGCAAAAAAGAAAAGAGAGAGCGAGGCTGGCCGGTGGTCCAGCCGTCCCCCGGCACGCTGCCTTTTTTAATAAATATGTCCAATGTCTCTTGAAATATATATATTTTTTTAAGAATCTAAAAGCTTTGCGGTGGAAACAGGCGTCTGATTGGTTTGCTAATTGCTCTCAGCTCAGGTTTGTCTTAGTGACTCTGATGTAATTTCACTTTAATTGTTTAGAATTGGATGTTTGGTGTAATTTCACTTTAATTGTTTGGCTTCACTGAATGTAGCACTCTGTTGCTAACAGCGCTCTCTCTCTCTCTCTCTGATGAAAGTCCCTGCAGAGATCAGCCCACGTACTTTGTTGACTTTTCAGTGGTTGCTGTGATTTTGGTGTTTTCATGAGATAACGAGCCTTACTCCGGTTCTTTCGGGGTTTTATTGGATTAAATTTGAAACGACCATTGCTGGTTTTTTTTTTTTCCTGCTGAAAATAGATTCTTTCATTACCGCAAAATGAAATGATCTGGGTGTTATTCATCGAGCTGCTTTTCATACACACACACACACACACACACACACACGTGCACACGTAACCCCTTTTGATGTCTTGACTTTGTTTATTAGCGGTTCATTCCATGATTGAAATGGGGGTTTGGGTTCTCTTGGGCCATAAATCAGCATGTCAGCTGGCGTTTAGTGCTTTGTTTCCCATTTCAATCAAACACTCGCATCACTTGTTATGAGCGCACTGCACTCCTCCTCGCTTCTCTCCGGAGCCCTTGTAGTCCTGACAGATGGTGTGTGTGTGTGTGTGTGTGTGTGCTCGGTAAACCATTTTTCAAGCTGTATTCGGGGCCGTCCGACACCCTGCTCCTGTTTCTCATTTCCATTTTGGGAGTTTTGAATGGGTTTCCGTAGATTGAACGAGGGAATGGGGATTTGAGGGTTGACATTGAGATGAGAATATTTGTCTAGCTTGACTTTAAAAAAAAAAAAAAAAAGTATGTCTCTTCTTGTGTCTTTTCCCTCCGCTGACCTTTCCTCCTACCGTCTGCTGAGAAAACAAAGACGCAGCCGTATTAAAGCCAAGCGTCCTAATAGGTGTCGGCACTGTCACTCTTAAACAAGGGCCTATTATATGCAGGGGCACTTTATTTTACCTTTCAGCTTACTTAGGACATTATTGTCACCTGTACTTACCCTCTGTGTGAAAAGCCATGCAATTTAGGGAACCACACACACACACACACACACACACACACACACACACGTCGTACACAAACACACACTTGAACAAAGAGCAGCTTCACACCTTGGTGCCATAGCAGAGCGACTTTAGCGAGGTATGCAGGCCCTCCTTTGCTTTATCACGTAATTCACTGAGAGTGTGGAAGCATGCTGGCGCTGCAGGGGTCACAGCGAGGACCAGGCCCCCCCACCCCTCCTCCTCCTCCTCCTCCCTCCATTGTCCTGCGCCCCTGGCCATTAAGTTAAATGGGGCTCCAGCAGGAAGCCAGAGAGGGCTGTTTATGACCCGAGCCCGGGTACCCTCGCCAGCAACTAGTTTACTAATGGAAGGTGCCTCGCCTAAATAAAGCTTAACGGCTCATTTAATCTCTTTTTCGGCCCTCGCAAGGTTTAAAGGGAGAGAGAAAAGGCCAAGAAAATTCTATGAGGGATAACAGGGATTTTACTCCTGTGTCCTCTGGTTAACAGGGCGATGTTAACAATCCTAACGTAGCAGACAGAGAGTCGTTTTACTGTGTGTGCTCGCTCTGATTGAAATACTCTTGAACTCATGTCCTCTTGTTGATGTTGATGGATAACCGCCCTCCTCCTCCTCTTTCCTCTCTGCAGGCTCCTGTACAGTTTAGCTTTCAACGCACGCTTCCTGAGGCATCTCTGGTACCTCATAACGTCCATGACAACGAAAATGATCACTGGGTGAGCTTATTCAAAACCTGGAAGTCTGCAAATCAACGTGTGAGCATTGTGCACGTTTGTGTGATTAGACTTCATGCCTCATATGTGGTCTCCCCCCCCCCCCCTCAGCTCCATGGTGCCCCTGCTACAGCTGATCTCACGGGGGTCTCCAATGTCGTTTGAGGACTCCAACCGCATCATTCCCCTCTTCTATCTCTTCAGCTCTCTCTTCAGCCACTCCCTCATCTCCGTGCATGACAGCGAGTTCTTCGGTCACGAAATGGAAGGTAAAGGCGCCGATGTCTTCATAGACAAAAAAACCGACCTGGTGCGTGACCTCGGCAGAATGTCGAGATGAAACCTCAGTTTGATTTTATTTGTAGTTTTATGGAGCGCACACACATTGAAAGTGTTTTTAAAGACGTGCTGCTGGGCTGCTAATTAGGACGCACTCCTTTCTTGTTCATTGTTTATTATAATACGTTTGTTTTTTTTATCTGCAAGATTTGGGGAAAAACGTAACCCCGGTTTCCACACAGTCTGGGTGCGCTGCAGTCCCGTCAGCACCGAGCACTACGGTGCCGTTCACTGCCACTCTAGTCAACACACCACTGAGCGTGCCAGCAGCGCTACTCCGCTCTGCTCCTTTTACAAATACGCCCCGAGTATGTTTTTGACTGAGCTCGCTGCAGGCACGCGTCAAGCTCGACAGAATAGATCGACCCGGACAGGAAGTCAGACAAGGAAACGCACAGAGCGTCCGGTCAATTTCAAAATAAAACACAACATACAGACTGATTACTTCAAAACAGGCACCGAATGAAGAACAAATCATCCTCAGAAAGACAAAGCAACATGTTTTGCTCTTTATTCCCGCGTGATCTTGTAGTTCTCATGTGATCTTGTGAACCCGTGTGTGCAGCTGCTCAAGGTGTCGCATAGACTATTTGGAAATTGCGGATTACACTTTAAAATTGCGGTTTCTAGGCTGTACTTTTTGAGTTTATGATTTATTCTTCTGTTTTAAATATCCAGAAAAGAAGCAGAGTGAGTTCATCCTGTGGACAGTCACCTTCATCTCTCTGAATCTCCTTCTTAGGGAAACGGATATTCTCTCATCATTTGTTGTTTTCAGCAGTAACGCAGCTCGTTGCCGCCGTGTGAATTTAAAAATCAATATCTGTAAAAGACACTGAATCCATTCCACCTCTCAACAGGTCAGACGCAGTCCTCCATGATGCCCTTCACGCTGTTAGAGCTGGTGACTCTGTCTCGCTGTCTGAGGGACGCGTGCCTGGGAATCATTAAGCTGGCCTACCCTGAGACCAAGACCGAGCACAGGGAGGAGTACATGGCCGCCTTCCGCAGCGTGGGCGTCAAGACGAACACCGAGGTTCAGCAACGCATCCAGGCCGAGCAGAAACGCTGGGTACAGCTCTTCAAGGTAAGAGTGTATCACACGGTCACTGCATCACAGATTAATGTGCGTCTTTGCCCGTCACACAACTTGAATTTCAAATTGATCAGCAGACTTAGAGAAAATCAAAAAAACATCAATTATAGGTCACAAAGAAATGCTAACTTCATTTTGACGAAAACGTCAATACAGCACATTTTAAAAACAACAGTAGAGCCGTTTTCACACACAAGGAGTAAGTTATTAAGAATTTTTTTTTTCTGGCAAAAGATTAGTAAAATAGATAATCTAAAGCCAGACCGATTAATCAGCCAGCCGGTAATATCAATCAATCAATCAATCAATCAATCAATCATTATTTGTATAGCGCCAAGTCATATTAAGTGTTATCTGGAGACGCTTTACAAGAGATATGGGATAAGATCCAGGACTTCTCCTTTGTATTCCTCTCGTTCCTGTTGTCCACACTTCCTCTCCGCTGAGGTGGAGGTCGGAGCAGGCCGTGCATGTATGAGGACGCCGGTGGTAGTGGCTGGGCGTCAGGGACATCGGGTGGTAGTGATGCCAGATCACCTCGCTGAAGGTTGGAAGAGCTCCGTCTATCCGAGAGCCTCCTGGGCTTCTAACGCACTGACACTGAAGTTATGAGCATATCCGGTGACTATTATATCGGCCAATTTTATCGCAGATATGCGCCGATATATTACGACATTTATTCACCAGTCAACCAGCATTTAATCTGAGTTTCATTGTGTTACACTAGCAGTTCTCTGTCACCAGCAGAGGGCGCTATATGGATTACAACAAGCAACATCACTCTCCAGAGTTTCAAGCGGTGATGCTCGGTTACTTTCCAGTCGAGCGACCATCTTGTATTCGTCTTTTTCTCTCCTCAATATCGATATCAGTATCGGCCCAAAAACAAATCCCACATCGCTCTGACCTTAATATAATAGTTATAATTCTTACACTGGAATTAATTTGCACAAGTCTTTATCAAGTCTGTGGGCTTCTCTTGGTTTGTCAGCTGAAAATACAAATTTCAGTCCAAACGGTTTTAATAATTAAATATAAAGTAGTGCTTTAATGTTTTGGTAGACTCAAATGTTACCTCTCTGTTCGCTGAAGCCAAAGGTCCTAATTCTTGATTTTGTTAGTGGAAACCAAGCGTGAATGCCACGGAGGTCATCCATTGCTTATTTACTCTGAGCAAACGAGGCAGAAAACAGCTTTAAAATCATTCTCCTACCTCGACCCCTATTTTCTGATCACACATCACCCTTTCAGTTCTCCTTTTCTCCTCCTGTTCTCTATCACGGAGGATTAGGCGGCGTTGCTCTTGGCTGTGACGCTCTGACGGCAGAGAGAAAGAGTTCTGTGAAAGGTGACAAATACCCGAAGAGCACGTCAGTTTTTTTTTTCTTTTCTTTTTCATAAAGGATCTTCTCAAAGGCCTCCTGTCAGCTAAAACGACCCATTAAAGAAGTGGGGTAGCAGGGAAATGCATTTTCCAAATTGAACGGCGGGATTTACAGTCGGTTTAACGCTGCTGACCCCTAACACGCTAATGTTTGGTTCGTGTCATCAGCCGTCCCTCCCCATCTTTTATCACCTCCATTGTCGAGCTATCTATTTAATTGAAAGAAGTTAATTGAATGAAAATGATCAACTAAGTTTGTATTAATATTGCTAATGGAACTTTCTTCTTGGCCATGTTTGGAGAACGATGTCACGCCGGAGTTTGGGAAAGGCCCATTAAGGCGTGCACTTAACCCGATGGGCTAATTAAGGAATGCTTATTCATTCCCAGAGTCAGGGGGTTGGCCTACTCCAAACCCATCGGCGTGCGCCTCTTACAGCATTTTGCACTTGCAATTATTGCCGACTGCGGTCGCCTCGCAGCGATTGGCCGAGATTGATCGTCGCTGTATGAAAATGAACGCGCTTTAGAGAAGAACATTTCGATTGAAATATCCAGCCGGGGTATTATATGGAAATGGAGCGGCTGTGACTGTTATTGGCAGACGCAACAGCTCCCTTATCGAATCTTCATGCAGTGACACGCGTGAGGTTATGTGTCTGATGGCAAGTTGCCGTAGCAACAGCGGAGCTTTGTTACGTCCAGCCGAGGCCAATTAAGAGGCGGGCTGCAGGAGCACAGGAAGTCACATACACACCCATTCTAAAAAGCCTGTTTTTACAGCAGAGATGAACATGTTTACAGCCTGGTTCAAAAAACCAAATAGGTGTGATTAGCTCATGTCTGGATGGACACACACTGTACGGGGGGTGAATGTTTTGATGACTCATCAGTTTTGATTTGATGAAGGATAAGAGTTATTCACAATAAGGCGTGTAGCTGACCTGATTGACAGGTGGGCGCGGTGTAACGGTTTGTCAGGAGGTTTAAAACCCGCCTCAGCTCCAGCTCGCAGCCTGTCATTAGGTTGACTGAAAGTTAGACTGAGACAGCATTTCCAGCATGGAGGCCGCCATCGAGGGGGACTCCAGCGCCCCCTACAGGAACAGACGGGGTTACGTCACTCAGGCTTTAAACATTAATATTTACAGTCTATGGTTCTATATAAAAAATCTGTAGCTTGGTATTCATCTTTAATTGTGTTATATCTTCATATAAGCAAAGAGGCTTGGTCGTATGTATGGGCTGATTTGCAATATAATATGTTTATCAGCTTCCAGTTTAAACTTCCTTCTGGTGTAAATTTACAGAATCAAAGTCAAGTTTTCTTTAAAACATAGTGAAAGGCCCGTCTCGTCATGATGCCTGTCCCAAACAAAAGGCCGCCTCATTCCATAAACTGAAGTCAATGAAAGCCCGGGCTGTTCATTCAAGTTTGACGGTAATATCTTTGTTACATCAATGTGCAATCTTGGTTTTCAATCCACTGAAGAGCTACGCTCAGACTGGCTGTGCTTTGAGCCGGTGCTCCCTCGTCTCTGCATACTCTGCCCGGCGGCTGATGTCAGCAGGCCTCGTCGTCGGTAATTAACAGGGCTGGACGTTGAGGGACGGCACAGGTCGTTTTTCTTTTATACTCCCCATAAATGGCGCACTAATGGCTGAATTCTCAAATTGCTTTTTTTTCTCCCCCCCCCTCTCTCTCTCTCTCTCTCTCTCTCTCTCTCTAAGCGGTGGCACCACTTCCTGTTGAGCAACCTATACAGAGAAAAAAAAACTGTGAAGAGTATGTAACATACACTAAAAGACATGTTATAGTGACACGTGTGTGTTTGTGTGTGTGTTTGATCTACTACACAGGTCATCACTAACTTGGTGAAGATGGTGAAAGCTCGCGACATCAGGCGACCCTTCTGTCCAGCAGGTCACTGGCTCTCCGAGGAGGTCAACATCCGAGCAGATAAGGTACCAGACTTGGATCGCAGCTGTTTGGATTTTAGATTTGATCATTGTTGGGATGCTTTGTTAGATGATTTTTGGCCTAATTGTTCAATAGTTCCTGCTTCCTGCTATAATCAGTTACGGTCACAGAATATTTTTTGCCTAGTTTCTCTTTGACAACAGTTCATGTTGTACCTAACGCATCAAATCCTGTCATATTATGTTATCCTATCGTGAGTTATCCTGTTGTTTCCTGCCTTTAATCCATTCATTTTTAAACGATATAAAATAATAAGAATTACAGTATGAAAAAGAAACAATAGTACAAGTCAGTGTTAACTTTCTAAAAGTTTAAGCCTCTGGCGTTAAATAGCGTCTGAAGTCTCGACCATTAGCAGGATGATGTTGCTCACTCCCCTCCCCTCTTCTCCACAGGTCACACAGTTGTATGTTCCGTCTGCGAGACATGTGTGGAGAACGCGAAGGATGGGCCGCATCGGGCCACTTCAATCAACCCTTGATGGTACAGTTATCTCCTGGATCTGAGAAATGATACCTGAAACTATCTCCTGTGCTGCGACCAATGAGATCTCTGTGTGTAGCTTCGTGCTATTTAGAAAGAAACATTTCATTCTTGTGTTCAAGCTAATCACAAATACACTATTCTGACATTTCTGCTGCCCTTTAAAGAAAGTAGCGTGCGATTATCTGTCTTTGAACTCCTTCAGCGGCTATGAAGGAATATGTTGAATCATTTACAGTAATGCTGGTGTCAGCCTGATGCAGAGCCCAGAAATCATCCTAATTGCTGTCCAAAGTCACCTTCTCTGTGTTTGCTTTTCCTACACTGCTGAGCCATGCATTGATTTTTTATCTCCCACAAGGTGTCATCTCTAAAAATGTCTGTCTTTAGTCGGTAGAGAGAAGGTCTTAAGGTTGCAAATTGAACTATAAAATGACAATCCAAGAACATATTGATCATGTCTGTCTTCAGCTGGGTGGAAGAAATTCTTTCTCACAGCAAAAAAAAAAGACAAGAAGAGTCACTGACACTGGTTGCAAAAGATGAATTTCTGAAAGCCGTTTTCACATCTTCACTCCTGAAAATATCGAGATAATTTCAGGGGGACTGCTCTGGATATTCTCCGGATTTGGTTGTTAACACATGAACCTCACAGCAGGAGGTCAGACAGGAGGGGGGGGGGTCTCCTGTGACGTAAAAAATTCTCCAGATGAAATATGAGGAGGAGAAACTCATGATAAAGTCTTGAGAGAAACATTCAGCTGTTTGTGTTCACACATGCAGCTCCTCCTGCAAATATCAGGAGTTTTTCTGTAAGTGTGAACGCCCTATAAATGTATCTTTGTTTACTTGATAAGCCCGACATTGAAGAGCTTCATCCGACTCAAGTAAGGTGTGAAAACAAGCTGATAACAATGTGTGTATGATCTGCCTAATCCCACTCACAGGCTGTATGGGATAAATTCAATTAGTGTGAAAGTACTTGATGAGCTCAGCCACATCTGGTCCATGTGTTTGTCTGGCCTTTTCTCATTTCCTTAAATGGACAGGCCCAGGGCTGATGAATGAGCAACGTATTGACCACTCAGAGGCCATATTTCTTCTCAAAGATGGAAACCTGATGGGAAAATGCAGATCAGACTGACTAATTGAGCAGAATAATTGAGCTGCGGTGGACGCTAAGTGAGAAGGGTGAAGAGCCGGTTTAGCTATTGTGGCTTTTTTTTTTTTTTGGTGGGCTAAACGGTCTAAAGCCTGAGTTTAATACAAGACAAACATCAGCTTAATGGAAGCAGACCAGCAGGTGGATGAACAGCTCCGAGCTGGGTCAAATTAAAAGAGTGTCGGATGGAAATGTCCTTAATGGCTGGCCTGTAAACAACAGGGAAAAAAAACCCTGCATCAGTGAGCACAGTAATGATGCTGTTAGATGAGTGGTGCACGCTGAGGACGCCTGATGTTGGGATGTTTAGACTTTTTAATCCCTGCAGGATTTACTCTGTCCATATGTAGCTGACTTAGACTCTTAAATTTTTGTTTGATAACTTTTCTTGAACTTTACATTTTCACAGATTTAAGAGTGTGCAGACAGTTTGATTTATCCTCACATTGATTTCATTGTGAAAGAGATCATCAAAGTGATCCTAAAACCATTCAGAGTGAGTGCAGGGGTTAGGCCCGAGATATTTTTCAGGGTTTACAGCTTTAATTACAAACTGCAGCCTACGATACTTTAGGATCTTTCTCACAAGTTTTGAAACTGTAAATGTAAAGAACGAGGTTGCAATTTACATTTCTGTTCAAATTCCTCATCATTATTGTCTCCAAATCATGTGTCGTAATTTACAAGGATTGAGGACAGGGAAAATCAAGCTCTAACATGTTTTCTTTAGGGGTCCTGGTGACCGAGAGGTTAATTTGCACGCCCCATGTTCAGAGGCTGTGGTCCTCGAAGAGGGCGGCTCAGCTTCGATTCCGACCTTTGGGTCATCCCTAACTCTCTCTAACTCGCCCCGACATCATCCACTGTCCAATTTCTCAAATAAAGAAGCCCCAAAAATAAACAATATCATGTTTTTTCCTCTCTCTGCAGTTGGTTTCGAGCCTCCGCAGCTGTCTGTTTCCGAAGAGAGACATCTGGCCATCCTCACTGAGCTCCCTTTCGTGGTCCCCTTCGAGGAGCGAGTCAAGGTACCGCATTATGTCACAAACCACAATAAAGGAGCAACATGTAACTCTGACACCTAGTGTTTAAAATGGGTACTGCAGTCCAAATTCTAAACATCATAGAGAGCTGTCTCCCCCCCCCCCCCCTCTCTAGAGTCGATGCTCACTCAGGTCACCATGTGGTGGACTCTGAAGCTTCAGTGTTTATCCAGCTCTGCATGGGTCTGTAAACCTTTCTGTGTTCTAACCTCTCTCCATTTTTCAAAAGCATCTCCAATATTGATCCTAGTTTGAGCACGTTTCTGCTCGTGGAGCTTATTAGAAACATGCAGAGGCTTTTTAGGTCGGGTACAATCACTTCTATCTGAACCACTTCTCTTGACCGCTTCCATCGCTGCAACACCTGTTGGTTTGACCTGATAACCAAACAAATCCAGAGCATTCAGGAGCAGAATATAAAGTTAGAAGGAGGACATACTGGCTGCTGCATTGTTGTCAGAGAAGCCAGCACTTCAACATAGCATGTTTCCTTAATGTCTGATCAGATAGTAAGATACTTTATCATCTCACTCACTGCACATCTCACTGGTTGTACCTTTAAGTGTATTTCATCATCGCTTTTGATCCCTTTTTTTCCACCTTCTGTGTCTTCTTTCTCTGAATTTCCAAAAAAAGAGCATTAATAGAATAATCAAACACAGAGGCTGAATAACACGCAGCAGAATCTACACACAGAATGAAACATTTTTTATTCCTGAAAGGATTTGCCACTGACCTTTTAACACCTGTCCTGCAGATATTCCAGAGGTTAATCTATGCTGACAAACGGGATGTGCAGGGTGACGGGCCTTTCCCAGACGGCATCAATGTCACCATCAGACGCAACTACATCTACGAGGACGCCTACGATAAACTCTCTCCTGAAAACGGTAGATTTCAACACGTGCAGCCTCGGCTCACCTCATGAAATGTGTCGTCAGGGAAAAGTGCTACAGCGGCTTTGTTATTCCTGCATAAGGAGAGAAAGCAGAGTGTTGTAAATGCTGCTGCTGGTTCTGAATTCCTCGTTTCACTCTTTAAAATCTTAATATCGAGGATAAAGCTTCAAGTTAGTATTCAAGATGAAGGTTAGCTCAGTATTGAATTCCAGTAAAGCATAATCTCGACTCCGATTATTATAATGGATCACATAAAAAGCAGAATCAATTATTTTAAGTCACCTCTTTTGTGTTTGAATTTGAAAGGGCACTCGGGTTGGGGCGATCTGATTAAAAAGAGTAGTGGGCGACCTGGGCTGAAGACATGATCTATATCATTTATGTGTCTATAAGTTACAGCTGACTTGATTTATCACGGTGCATCAATTATTCTGAGAGATGACCTGCTGTGGAGTTTGATTTGAATATTCAGCAGCAGGTCGAGAAAGTGCTTTCTTGTCAAATACAACAGCTCAACAATGTGGTTCCGGAACAAAAAAAATCTTGTTAATTTTTTCTCCATAGTGGATTTGATGATGAGCTATGATGTCATAACCATCACAGGTAGACTGACCACGAGCTACCTGAGTGTGAAACGATGGTCAATGCTCCTGAAGGAGACACAAGTTTGTCTGATATCAACCTTTAAGAACAACACGGTTTATTTATGATATCGGGGGGGGGAGAACTACACTACCCACGATCATAGAGAGTCACTGCGACGTCTCTGATGGTGGAGCTCGCGATTATCACGGCTTGAAACGGCGCTCTGAATACAGCTACAGTCGACCAGGATGACTGGATTCCCCTCCTGGAAATGTAAACAAAGAAAATCAGTGACGTCTTCTGTTTGTTTGGTCAGATTTATGAGAGAAAGATGAAGTAGCTTTTTTAATTTCATTGGATGATGCTTTAGCTCTTATTACTTTGACACCGTTATGAATTCCTCCTCAGAACCGGACCTGAAGAAACGGATCCGGGTCCATCTCCTGAACGCTCACGGTCTGGACGAGGCCGGCATCGACGGCGGTGGCATCTTTCGCGAGTTCCTAAACGAGCTCCTGAAGTCGGGCTTCAATCCTAACCAGGGCTTTTTCAAGACCACAAACGAGGGCTTGCTGTACCCCAGCCCCGCGCAGAGATGCTGGTCGGCGACTCCTTCACAAGGCATTACTACTTTCTAGGCAGGATCCTGGGAAAGGTGAGTACAATCTGTTACAGCCCCCTTTAACCAAAATAATTAAATCAAGGCTCAAAACAGTGACAGAGACAGAAGATAGAAGACACCACACAGATGTAAGATATTAAACTGAACTATTAAAACTGAACAGTCAGATACAGACAGAACACTGCGGGGTAATAGAGGCTGGATGGATTATACTCCATGTCCACGTTGTGTGCTCGGGTTAGAAGAGAAGTCTAACCAAAAGAAAACAATAGGAGGGAAAAAGGGCGACTGGTATCTCCAGCCCAAACTTAATAACTAAGAAATCTAGACATGCGTTGGACAAAAAGAATGCAAGTGTGTGCGTCCCATGAAGCTCTCCTACCTGGCTCCTCCTCCTCCCTGAGACTGAAGGTGTGCGTCAGGCGGAGGGATGAGGGAGAATCAGGGAGCAGGAGAAGACGGCTGCACGGAACACAACCCAATAATAATGATGCTGTACTTGTGTACTTTTTAAAATCATAATTTCTCAAGCAGGAATGTCTGAAGTGTCAAAGCTGTTTGCCAAAGCAGCATCATGCTAATTTTAAGATTTAGTCACAACACATCAGTTATGAGGACCAACTGCTGTCAGTGTCCACGCTTGTTAATTCAGAGGCCGTGATGTTGTTTGTTTCGAGATATCACGGTCATTTGTTTCAGGAAAAAGGTCGTAGCTCTGCGGCTACAACCTGAACCTCTAACTCGACAAGCTTCGGTTTAGTTAATCACCCCTGTGCATAATCTGTTGACGGCATTGTTTTTCCCACCGCTTCCTTCCTTTGATGGCACTATTTACCAGAGCCTAATGTTTCTAAATCATCCTTAATGCATGTGGTAGCGATTGTTTATCAAGATGCCTTCCTCTTTGGGGGGATGTAAGGGGGTGGCGGGGGGGGGGGGCATCATCTCTGTCTGGAGAGGAATTACCTCATGACAAGCGGTCGCCTTTCAATTAGGGCTTCCATTAGCCGATGATTCCTACCTCTTGTTTGTGTAGTGATCGCATTGGGCTGGCACTAAATCAGCAGACCCACACAGACAGGACATAAATAAGCGCTCAAAGCATGTGGTAATAGCATTTTGATCTGTTTTACAGTTAGGAACATCCAGGTCTCTTCTCTCCTGGTCCAGTTCACTTATCAGAGCATCTTAACTCCTCCTCCTTCTTCTTCTTCTTCTTCTTCTTCTTCTCATCCTGCTCTTCTTCTGCTTTTTCTTTTTTCTTTGCAAGTAAGAAAAGATCAATCAGCAGCTTACGAGCTCTCCGCCCCCCACTCTCTCCATATTGTGCTCTCGATAGCTAATGGTTCAGGCAATTAGGCGAGGGGGAAATTAATTTGAATTTGACTTTCAATTAACCCTACCTTAAGTTCCTCTTTCTCCATAAAAATGGACGTTTGAGTGGGCCATTTGAGAGGCGTATTGATATTTGTTTAGTGCCGTTATAGCCCCGGATAAAAGGCGAGCGTTTATATAGATTGGGATTGCATCACTGCAGCTGCAATGTGCCCAGTGCACACTGCGGCTCAAAGGACACGGGAGATTAATATTGTTAATTAATGTCCGAGGCGTGCCATTGTTGTGGAGGTGATGTATTACAGGCAGGAGTGGCTTGTCTAGGGTACTCACTGAAATGGGATTGAACATCAGAATAGAGGCCGGTCATCATCCCTCTTCCTCACTTGTCCACCCGGCTGACAGGCGGAAAGATTTAAGACGCAAATGGTGAAAACAGGTTGCTTTGCTTTCGTCGACTGGTTTCATCGTTGCAGATTTACGCCCTAAAAAAAAAAGTTAAAACGCTGAGTCTTAATGGGAAGAAAATCACATTTTCCCATTATGTAATATGACCAGCAGGAGGTTCTTCTTGTGCCTCATTCTTCTCTCATTAGAACAAAACCTTCAACCTCATCAGAAGTGGCCTCTCCACTTTGCTCACAGTGCGGCGGAGGAAAGTTTCTCCTCCTCCTCCCTCCTCCTCCTCCTCCTCTGATACTCCTGATGCCCCCCACCCCTTGCTTGATAGAGATGCGTTTGAAAGGCATTATAATTTTATTGATTCTTAATGTTGTAAATTAAGAAGCATATTTGGCAGCTAACAGAAAGCACCTGCAGCGTGGCCGGCGTTTATTCCACCTGATGGTGCGGCGATCTGCTTTAATTGCGTTGCCACTGCACTCACTTATATTAAAAAGGCCCCAGCCATGATAATTAATTCCTTCCAGGCAGAGTCATTTTGGCACAATTTCTGGCAATAAACACTCGTAAATAAAGTAAGTGGCATTGAAAAAATAAGGCTACAGGTTTTTTCCATATACTTATTGCTGCCTCTTCCCGGCATAAGTGTTATTGATAGGTTTCAAGGGGCCACGCGGCGCATATGGTCCTAAACGAGCGGCGGCCACCAGAGAAATACTAAGTGGATTATTTTGCATAAAAAATAGACAATGTTTGAAGTTGTGCAATTAACCTGTGTTTAGAAAATAGCCGTGATTTATGCGTGCCTGTGTGTTTAAGATGCATGCATTATGGAAATCCTCTAGATTTATAATCCATTTAGCTGATGCGGTCAGGGTTTTTAGCGCCATCATTTATAAAGACCTGTATATTTTAATGCCTCCAACGGGCTCTTTTCGGACTATTCCAGTACATTAGCTATGGGCTTTATGAGTCACCTGCCCGGCTGTGGTTCTTAACGGCATTTAGGGTCAAGGTGAGAAGTGGCGTTTATAAAGTTTGAGCTGGGTGAACAGGAAGCGTGCGTGTGTTTGGATGGATCGTGTTTTGAGCTGATTTAGCATCCCCTCGCTCCACTCTTTGATACGTCATGTTGGGTCCTGTTGTAGTCTGCGAGTCCATTTAGTTATCTCAGATATCTGCTCATCTTGTTTTATTCAGTGACGACCAAGAGAAAAACAATCGCAGTGGTGACGTCAGCGCAAACACAGTCAAATCATATTTTTTTCTTTCCAACACCTTCATCAGCCTGAACGAGTAATCCAAGTCTCATTTAAAGGTGAAATATTCTCCTCCTCTTGAACTAGTGTAAATAAGTCTCAGAGCTCTTCAAAACATGTGTGTGAAGTTTCTTGTTCTAAATCCACTCTGATCCTGTATTTGATCATGCCTATAAACCCCTCTATTTCAGCCCTGCTCAGAACAGACTGTTTCTGTGTCTGTACCTTTAAATATGTAAATGAGCTGTGTCTGACCACGCCCCCTCTTGGAAGGGCTTGGGTGTACTCGGTCTTTCTCGCTCCATGTCCTATTGTTTACGGTGAGAAGGCAGACTCAGAGGGCAGAACAAACACCTAGCTGTGGAGTGTCACCACCTGGGGGAGGGGCTACTGCCCTTTGTGATGTCATGAAGGGAAAATCTCCAAACGGGCTGTTTGAACACATATTTTCTGAAAAGTGGACTTTTCTCATCATTGGGGGTTTGTAGACGGACTAGAGACACAATTTAGTGTTTGAGAAACATGGTGAAATGTGTTTTTACATGTTATGGGACCATTAAACCTCTTGAACACGTCATGCTGGTATTTCGGTATTATAGTCTGAACGACGACGATTTTACTGACAAAATGTCAACTGACCCAAGGTTTCTTTAGGGGTCAGCCCTACTCAGATGGGGGGGGTCAGGGTTGCCTCTATGTCCTGCAGCAGTCCTCTAAAATCCCTTTATTTTTGCTCAACAGGCGCTGTATGAGAACATGCTGGTGGAGTTGCCCTTTGCCAGTTTCTTCCTGTCCAAACTTCTGGGAACGAGCGCCGATGTGGACATCCACCACCTGGCATCGCTGGACCCGGAGATGTACCGCAACCTTCTCTTCCTCAAGAGCTACGAGGGCGATGTGGAGGAGCTGGGCCTCAACTTCACGGTGGTCAACAACGATCTGGGAGAGGCTCAGGTGAGTGGCTTCGGGGAATAAATGATTCACCTGCTATATTTTTCTGTGCCTTTGGTGCCCTCTCTCTTTTTTCTGCTCTGGTCAGTCGCTCTAGATCAGGTGTCTGTCCTTCCTCCTGTGTTGTTCCTCTGCGTGGCGTTAATAATTCATTTCCCTCATGATGTTACCACTTCTCAGCTCTAAAGGAAGATAAAGCACGTTGCTGCCTTTAGCTCTGCTGCAGAGCAGGAAACACAGCGGCTCTGTTGACTATTCCACCTCCGTGTCCCCCCCCCTTCCCTGAAAACATCTCCTTACACGCCTGACGGAAACTTACTCACTGCTCTTAAGCACGTCCCTCTCCAAAGCTCAAGGCTGCGGAGATGAGTCGCCACAGCCACTCTGACTCATCGGGACTCAGACCTGCACTCTACCCGGAGCCCCTGTTTGCTCAGGGCCTTAACGCGTCTTATTAGCTCTCCTCAAACAACACCTGAAACAGTCGAGTTACAATGCAGCCCTCCTGCTCTCAAATAGGGGAATCACAAACACGATAGGAAAAACAATTTGTGAAAGATTAGGCACACACGGGAGCAGTCTGCCCTCCATCTGCCCCCGTGAGATAACCAAAGCAAACAAGATAAGGACGGTAATTCTTTTACATTAGCACATAATCAGAACCCTCTGTGTGTGTGGGGGAGAAAACAGCAGAAAAGGACTGCCTGTAAGTGAACCACATAGAAAAAAAAAACCTTGCTTAATATTACATTCTTTCTCAGTATTGTTGCATTGATTCCCTTTGTGAAGCTGAACAATCCGTCCTTGTTAAAACTGCGTCAGAGCGGCGCTGATTCATGCCTGTTGCTGCCATCGACGGCGGTTTAACTCATATCCTGTCAAGTGTTTCAGTTAGAGCGGCTTTCACACCTGCAGAAAACTCCTGAAAAACGTCTGATATTTTCAGGAGGAGCTGCATGTGTGAACACAAACAGCTGAATGTTTCTCTCTGACTAGATACTTTCAGGAGCAGTCCTCCTGAAAGTATCTAGATATTTTCCGGGCAGGAAAGCGCTGGCTGTGCGCTCGGGAGCGTTTGCATGAAGCGTGTGTGCTCTGAGAAGAAAAGAGCTGTACGTTCGTCCTGTCTCCATGACAACAGTCTGTTGACGACGGTCGCCGTATGACCAACACTGCTCCGTTACTTTTTTTTAATTCATGTTTTATATTTGAGTTTATTTCCCGATCAGACACGGAGCGAGGAGGATGTTGGTACAAGACACAATCTGTAGGCAGCAAAACTACTGGGAATATCAAACATTTAGAAACGAGTGCCGGATAACGTCAATAACGTCTTTCTGAAAAGTTGAAAGATTTTCAACTTGAGTGCCCGGACTGGCCGCACATAAAAAGTCAGAGCGCTGGAAAAAAAGGACACTGGGCGTGCGCTTTTTCTCCAGGTGGCTGCTCTCTGCTTATTGAAAAGAATTGGGCGGAAAAAGACGCTGCCGCTCAGAAAATAAACTCTCTCCGTGGACACGGGGTCTTATGCAGGGAAGCCTTATTGTAAAAACAAGATGAACATTTCTGTTCGGCCTCCCTGCATCGGCTATGATGTCATCACACACCGTTTTATGAACAGGGATGATGAGCACTTTCTATCAAGTAATAACGGCTCTATAGCTAATGAAAAGAGAACTAAGGGCCAAATTGTATTGGACCAGATGTTCATCGAGTGTGCTAAATTTAGAAAATGCACTTAACCACACACACTGAGCCATACCTTTAATCAGAGTGCTGCTGGAAAACATTTTAATTACCTCTCTGTGATTGAATTGAATCCAACTGACACTTGTATTGTTAGTCGGGCAGCGATGTGCAAAATAAAGTGGACACTTAGCTAACTTACAGTTTAAGTCTGGTACACACTGAAAGGTTTTTAAAATCTTAAACTGTTTATAAAAACCAGGTGTCAGACACAAACAGATTCCTTCACCAAGAGCCAGATCGTCCACTCTCAGAACTCGTCATCTGATGCCATCAAACGCGCCTAAAGAGTAAACAAACATGATGGTCATGCTAAATGTGGCTAGCTGTTAGCTGGTACATCCATCACGGTAAACATTTTGGTCATTTAGGGCCACAAATCAACAAGTTGCTCCTCCATTTCTGACGTCCGTTTAACTTCCTGCTTCGCGTTTTCTGTTGTTGCCATGGCTACGATTGTTGTGCTTCCTGCTTCAGTCAGCTTTCCTCCTTATTGGCTATTGTTCCGTCCTCTGTGTTCGCCCCACACAACAGGATTTCTGATTGTGAATATTCTGCATGTTTAATATTTAAATTTCAAATCGGGGCGGCTCCAATCAGATCAGGAAGGTTAAAAATCACTCTTAACTTGTTTGTTTGTTTTTACTCAGGTGGTTGAGCTTAAGCTTGGAGGCAAAGACATTCCCGTGACCACAGCAAACCGCATCGCCTACATCCATTTGGTGGCCGACTACAGACTGAACAAGCACATCAGACCTCACTGCCTGGCCTTCAGACAAGGTCTGGCCAACGTTGTTAACCTGGAGTGGCTGCGCATGTTCGACCAACAGGAGATCCAGGTATGTGTCACAACCGTCAGTCAAGCTGCAACTTGAAATTCATCACAGAGTTCAAATGTGTTTTTTTTGTTTTTTTTACCTTTAAACAGGTGCTGATATCCGGGGCTCATGTGCCAATTTGTCTTGATGACCTGAAAAAGTTCACAAACTACTCAGGTAGGAGCTGATGATAAAAACATTTCTACTTATGATAGTTCTTCTGGGAATTGAGCTTTCACTTTACTTCAGCTGTGAAGCTGAACAGAGGCAGAAGGTCGGGGTGTAACCGTTCTCAGGGGTCACGTTTCATTACGAATTCGGTTCAACAGGAAAAAAGAAACAAAAAGTCTTGGATGTATATTTCTAGGTTTCTCTCATTTACCTTGTAATGACTCATGAAAGTCTGTAAACCTAAACTGTCCCCGCACAAATGTTTAAAGGTGACATATCCTCCTCCTCTTCAGTGTAAATAAGTGTCAGAGCTCCTCAAAACATGTGTGTGAAGTTTCTTGTTCTAAATCCACTCTGATCCAGTATTTGATCATGTCTATAAACTCCTCTATTTCAGCCCTGCTCAGAACAGGCTGTTTCTGTGTCTGTACCTTTAAATATGTAAATGAGTCTGACCACGCCCCCTCTCTGGAAGGGCTTGGGTGTCTCGGTGCTTTCTCGCTCCATGTCCTATTGTTTACGGTGAGAAGGCAGACTCAGAGGGCAGAACAAACACCTAGCTGTGGGAGTGTAACCCACCTGGGGGAGGGGCTACTGCCTTTTGTGATGTCATGAAGGGAAAATCTCCAAAGGGCCTGTTTGAGCACACATTTTCTAAAAAGTGGAGCAGGCAAAAGACGGAGAGGATGGACTTTTCTCATCATTGGGGAGTTTGTAGACAAACCGGAGGCTCATATTAAAGTTAGAGAAACATGGGGAAGTGGATTATACAGAATGTGACCTTTAAAAGAAGCAGACGGGTCTTGTAGCTCCGCCATGTCATGCTACTGTCTTTTACTCTTCTTCTTCGTTTGTTCTTTAATAGCGGTTAGCTAACTGCTATGAGCAGATTACCGCTACCTGGATTGGGTGTGGTTGTTTTTTGTCTCCACTCCAAAAAACATTACAGGCCTAGTTCCTAGAACAGCTCAACTCTTTATGTTGTGCTTTATGTGGATTATGTCCAATATGTGTAATGTTGTATGTAGTTTCAAACAACGGGAAATCTGTAATTTTTTCAAGTTTTTTTCCATAATTAAAATAAAGAGGATCAATTCTATTGTTTTTAAACATGTGGTAATGAAATGTTCTCCTGACAGACTAACCGTTACAGTCAGGTAATCTGTGTCTGGCTGTAGCTGCTGTAACGATATCTTCTTCTTCTTCTCCCTCAGGTGGTTACACGGCCACTCACCCCGTCATCCAGATCTTTTGGGAGGTGGTTGAAGGCTTCACAGACGAGGAGAAGCGCAAGCTGCTGAAGTTTGTCACCAGCTGCTCTAGACCTCCTCTCCTGGGCTTTAAGGTGACGAGACTTTATCGTCTTTCCCCCGCTCATGCCATCTTTTCTCCTCCTCACACTCCCTCTGCACGCCGTGTTCTACCTCGGTCCTTCGTCATTGGCAGGTTGTCTTTATCTCAACAGAAGCGACTGTTTCCTCTTAACGGGCCGGCAACTAAAACTCCTAGACTGATCATTTTCAAATTAGCCAGGGTTAATGTCGGGCCTGTGCACTGACTGAGATCTTATCTCTTTGTTCACGGTTTTGTGGTTCCAGACCTCCCTCTGTGGTTGATCCTGTCTGGACAAATAAGTCCATTGATAACTCTGTAGCAGGTTGAACTTTTGAACGTTTGCCTCCTGAGTGACACGGCAGAAAACAGCTATTTCCTCTTTAATGACTCTACAAGGGTGAACTGTACCACCCCCACCTCTTCAACATTGTTCCAGCTGTGCTGAATCATTATTGCTCACCTATTTTTTAAAATGATTTTCTAATTGGAAGCTGTCCCGCTCTCTCTCTGACTTGATTTGTGGGGGGGGGGAGAAGAAATCTGAAAGTGTTGCTCAGGACCATTAAAGAGTTTTTTATGAGTCTCTGCTCGTCAAACCAGCTGCTGTAATCATCATATGATTGGTTTTAGTTCTCTTTATGACTCCAATCAGTTAAAAAAAACTAATTGAAGTCCTGCAGGATACGAGGGAACAAAACTCTCCTTAAATCGTTTGACGTACCTCCTCTAAGGGTTTTGAGAGTTGCCTTGGCTCCCCTTTTAATCAATTTGACTTTGGCCAGCAGTGAGTATGAACCCCCCCTTCCCATCACCGCGCCCTCTTTCATCGTTTCCTCTCCGGGCCGATAATTCGCGGCGTGAGCGGCCCCTGACCTGGCCCTCAGCCTGAGCCAGCTAAGCCTTAATTAGCTGTCGAGAAACGGCCCAGGATTCATTAGAGAAGAAATAGCTCTGTCAGGAGAAGCAATTTAAAAAAGATGATGGAAACTCTCTTTTTTTCCAAAATGATAGCCGAGGTAATGGCACTTTCTCAATAAGCAACGATAGTTTAATACGGTAATTGTCAGAAAAATGGGGTCATTACGGCTAAGCCCCCGAAGAGCCATTTAATGGGGCGAGTACGGCCGCTGAACCGCACGCGCTAAACTTCAAATGAATGGGATGAAATCAGAGGCGGAGGAGCTTATTGGCTGGTGCAGCTCGTGATGGAAACGGTCAGTGTCACAGTCTGCAGATGAGGTGGCCTCATCACGGGGAGGCTTGATTTAAAAAAATGCCAGATAGACAACATGAAATGACCATTCCTCCCGTCTCATCCAAGGGTCAAAGCGTGGGCCCGCAACGCCATCACTACCTTTCAAGCACTAACCTGATTTCCTAAATTTATACTTCCTTAACGCTTAATGTCTCTCTTTTTACATTTATCCCCCGGTGGAATTTGACATTTATTGCTTAATGGGGATTGCTTTGGACATTACGATCATCAGCATAAGTTGATTCACGTCTCGTCTTTAAACACCTTTAAAATATGATTTTTTTTTTCTCTTAACTGCAGCCAATTAATCAGACACTAATAACATCTCACACACACAGGAGCTCTACCCGGTCTTCTGCATCCACAACGGCGGCTCCGACCTAGAACGCCTGCCCACCGCCAGCACCTGCATGAACCTGCTGAAGCTGCCCGAGTTCTGCGACCAGCACCAGATGAGGAACAAGCTGCTGTACGCCATCGAGTCCTCGGCTGGGTTCGAGCTGAGCTGAGGAGGGGCGAAGGCTTCTCTGTCCCCGTGGACTCCCCATGTCACAGAAAAAGGACGGCTTGTGAGAGAAAGACTTGAGAGAAAATACAAACAAGACGGAGGGGGGGGAAGCAAATGATGCACTGACCTGCCTGATTTTCTGTTTGTTAGTGTGTGTGTGTGTGTGTGTGTGTGTGTGTGTGTGTGTGTGTGTGTGCGTGTGCCAAGCCTGAGCAGAAAGGTGCGAGGATGACGCAGGGTAGGAAGCCTTTTTTTTTTAAAAACCCTTTTAAGTAACTTAAACGTTGAAGTAATCACCTGTCAAAACTCTTCTGAATGAAAGTGAAAGTGCGTAGTTGTTGGGAGGAAATCTCTCGCACATGAATGGACAGTTATTCTTCTTCACCAAAGATTAAGCGGCATCGTATAAAAAAGGCAATATAAGAGACGGACAGGGGCAGCCAGCTCGCCGTGTGCCAAGGGGCTGCTGAGTCGGAGGGGCTTTTGTGTTTAGCCTTCATGTAGAGGTCATCAGAACTCCAGTTTTTTGCGACGTCTCCGATGATTAGTATAGCTATAAAATAACCGCCATGTCCGATATCTACACCATCAGTGTGCACACGCCGTCTGAAATGTGTAATGGGCTTAGATTGTCTGTTATTATGGATTTGTGAATATGTATATGTTTACAACTGCTCTTGTATGATTCATTTATTCAGTACTTGTACAGGTTTGTTTTTCTTTCCATTGTGTGACGAATGGGAGGCGGGCGTGTGAGGTGAACAATCTCTCGCCTGGTCGATGACAAGACTCTCAAATGATCAGTGTACCAACAGGGTGAAAAAAAAACAGAGTGTATGGAAATGAATAAAACCCACTTTTTCTTTTTGCATTTTTTCCCTTCTAGCTTTTTTTTTTCTCTCGCTGCTTGTAATTCACAGTAATGACGAGACATAAAACAGTGCTTTGTGGGAAAATCTCCTCCTGAGTTTTATGGCCTCTGACATATAATTAAAGAAACATCCAGTTAAGAAACACTGAGCAGAACTATTCTGGCCTTGAGATGCATTATCGGGCTGAGCACAAATTAAGATTGCGTGCGTTGCTCATAAATCTCCCTGCCCTCTGATGCAGGAGGAAGATTTCAGCCGCTCGTTGGACCGAGGCCATCTCTGCATCGTCTCTCCTCTCTGCTGAAACAGCCAACGCAGGCCGAACCCCGCACATCCGCCGGGCCAGGGAACTCACAGTGATAATTGGGTCTTAAAAAGCAGACTTGTCATTGAAATGAGGGATTCATCTCAATTACTCTGAGATTTATTTAAGACTATTACCTTGTGATGGATTATAACTGACAGAGTTAATGCTGGGTGTTATGAATCATCCTCAGTAGGTAATATACTTTAGCTCGCCGGTAGGCCTTTTAAGAGCTAATTGAAGCTTTTAGGCTTGTTTATCTTGCTGCAGAGCAGGAAACATCAAAACTCACTTGACGGGGGTTAAGGAGGGAACCTGCTTTACACAAGATTACTCCAGAAGTGAAACCTGCTGTGCACGAGTGGAAAGTGAGCGTTTAACCCAATGAGAGTTTGTGCACAATAAGGAGGTATATCCAACAGATGAATCATACCTGATTGATCCTTTAATAAACACGTGAAAAAAATCACGAGACTGGAGAATGATATTTATTGCTGCAGGTGTTGCATCAAAGATGAGAAAGTCTTGCAACACTATCAGAGGTTGTTCCATATTAACAGATTGCCATCTGGTGGTCAATAAGTGGTACTGCACAAAGAACATTTGAACATTTGAACATTTACAGGCCTGTCCTTCAAACATCTTTGAATCCAAGCTCATTCGTCGGACGGAGTCAACGCTAAGGTAAAGTTTTCAAAATGCAAATCAAGTATTCCCTCTATGATAGAATGCACAGAAAGCAAAACAAACAGGACTTAAAGCATCCTTTGGGGGTAAAGTGCAGTGAAGTGAAGCACTGTTGGGCATGCTGTTTCACTGTACAGTGTTGGGGGAGTAGAGACTCGGACCCTAAAGTCCATTCAATACTTTTCCTGGGAACAGCAGCAAGAGCTATTTCAATTAATTTAGTAGAACTTTACATTTCCTGTTTGTCATTTTACTGAGAGACAGAGACCGGACGTGGTGGGATTGATGTTTGCACAGACTGTTTCACATAGGGGAGGTGTGTTTTTTTTCTACATGCTTGTTGGTAGAGTCAACATCGGCCTCCAGGTGGGTGGGCCATGTTCAACTCCGACCCCGGGCTCCTTTCCTGCGTGTCATAACCCACACTCTCTCTCTCGCCCTAATTACGGACTCTATCCTCTGTCCCGTCTCTTAAACAAACACAGAAAACCCCCCAAAATCTGTCTAAATGAACAATTTGACAACAGACAAATGACACATCAGAAGTCTTCATCCCTCATCCAATCCACCGAGAACTTCTCCCTCTTCACCATGAGAGACCCCCCCCCACTCACTCTCCACCTTCAAGTAAAGTGCTATCAAAGTAAAATGTATTATTATTATTATTATTATTATTATTATTGTTATTATTATTACACATTTACTCTAACTGGGCGAGTGAGTGAGAAAGAGAAAGTGTGTGTCTGTGTGTGCACTGTGCAGCACCGTCTGTGTAATCTCTACCTGTCCAGACTTGAACAGGGAGGAGGCCATCCTGGTTTCCTAAAAGCCTGAATGTGAGCAGCAGCTTCAGTCTAGAAAGATCCTCGTCTGTATAATAACGATCCACTTGTATCAGTTTCAAAGTAATCTTGAGCCATAACAATAAAAGAAGATGTTTAGAGGACGCTATTGACTGCGAGATAAAAAATGACCTGTGCATGCTATCTGTGGCTGTGCTGCCTCCTGCTCAGAGAGTCTAATTAGATAGTGACTGCCCATAACGCCCGATGTAATTAATAGCCATCTGTCATTTTCATTGGGTCTCCTTTCGTTGGCGAGCGCTTCGGCTGGCTCTAACTGCAAAAACGACCTTCATTTTCCTTATAAAATCAATGCAAGTGCGCCGTTTCAGGCACCGTTTCTTCAAACCTCCAATAACCTGGACTGTCTCATTCTGTGTCTTTGGGTTATCACAAGTTCAGCCTACTTAGCCCCCCCCTACCTCACACCCACAGGTGCTACTTGTGGTCAACAGGCAAGGCAGGCAACTGCTGGGGGTCCCAGACCAGTAAGGGGGGACCCAGAGGGCTGACTAACTTTAAGAAGTGGCTCAAAATGTGAACATTTTACAATGATAGTAGGAAATCCCCTAATGGGGCCCCGTCTGACTTTACTCACTCTTGTTGCCCTGCGTGTATTAAAGCTGTGAAAACCAAAGTTTGTCAACGAAAGTCATCAAAGAAAAATGAAGAGGAATTATCTCTCAGTCTTTCTGCCTGGTTAGTTTTTGCCCCCAACAGACTCTAGAATCGCCACAAATAAAACATTAACCATTAAAATAATAATAATAATAATAACTTTATTTATATAGCACCTTTTAAAAACACAGGTTTAAAAAGTGCTTTGACAAACAAGAACAAACTAAACCAAACACAGAAGAACATAAACAACAACAAGAACATAACAAATGTAAAATACTAAAAATAATTAAATACAATTCAGCAGAAAAGAACCCAAAGTGCACGATACCCAACAGACATATAGAACCAGACCATCACAAGAACCATCATAAGAACCATCACAAGAACCATCACAAGAACCATCATAAGAACCATCACAAGAACCATCACAAGAACCATCATAAGAACCATCACAAGAACCATCACAAGAACCATCACAAGAACCATCACAAGAACCATCATAAGAACCATCACAAGAACCATCACAAGAACCATCATAAGAACCATCATAAGAACCATCATAAGAACCATCACAAGAACCATCATAAGAACCATCATAAGAACCATCACAAGAACCATCATAAGAACCATCACAAGAACCATCACAAGAACCATCACAAGAACCCAGGAAACACAAGAACCCAACAACATGAGCTGAGACCAAGAGGAACCAAAGATTTAAAAAGATGTAAGAAACTAAAAGAGATAAAAGTAAATAAAAAGAGAACAGCAATAAGAAGGTAAGAGCAGGAAGAGAAATAGAAACAAATAGGAAAATTAAAAGAAGTGAGATTATAAAGAAGTGATTTAAATCATTTTAAAAGCAAGAAAAAATTATCATAAATCCCCCTTTTTTGTCCTCACAGTTCACGACAGGTGGCGCTGTAACCTCTTGTCTGTTTCTCTTTTGTAATAACCTCCTATGGCTGCAGCGCGCAGAACGAGGCGGGATCAGATGTGGGCGGGGCTGGATGCCAGAGGGGGCGTGGCCAGACGTCCAGCCACATCACAACCAGCGGCTGCAGTTTCAGGTTCCGCTGCACTCAGGCGCAGGAGACAAGAAGAAGGGGGGGGGACAAATACACTCGGGACGCCGTTGGATCTGACATTTCATTTCAAAACGAAGGTGAGGAATATATAATAATATAATATAAAGTGTAATGCTGAAAGGGCGCTGAATGTGTTGAAACACCGTCGTCTGTCGCAGAGATTATTACTCTGTCACTGTCAGGCTGAACGTTGCTAATAAAGCTCCAGCAATACGAGACTTTCCGGGTCCAGAATTAAAGTTACCACCTGACTATTTTTAGAGATGCTTTTCCCTTCGTTACGTAATGTTTTTTTGGTCCATTTTTATTGCTATCATCTTTGCAGTATGGCTGCCTTTTTTTAATATTGACAGTCTGCTTCTGAAGACTTTCTAGAAGTTTCTGACGATCTGCACCGACCTGCTGATGTTTCCAGCTGTTTTTCAGGGGGCCTGTATTCACAAAGCCCCCTTAAAACACAAAGACTTACTCATGGTTCAGAGGAGATCCTTGTAAAGATGAAAGTTATTCACTTAAAGAGAGGCTCCAGACCATGATGAGAATCCACAGATTGTGATAGCTGCCAGCAGGGGGCGTGTCCAGAGGGCTGGCCACTTGAGATCTGATTGGCTCCTCATGTGCCACTCAAAAATCCACATCTACGATTTACTATTCGCCTAATCAGGGGCAAGATTTACGCCCAATGTACACATAGCAGCCACACATTACACACTGAGAAGAACAAAGTCCCAACAGGGGCGGCTGTGGCTCAGTGGTAGAGTAGTTTGTCCCTCAACCCGAAAGGTCAGAGGTTTGAACCCCAGCTCATGCAGCCACATGTTCAATGTGTCCTTGGGCAAAACACTTAACTGCTGCTTCGTCGGCCGTGTATGAATAGATACTGATGTATTCTTTACACAGCAGCCTCTACCATCAGGGTGTGAATGTGTACGTGTGAAAAAAGCGCTTTGAGAAGTCAGAAGACTAGAAAAGAGCTGTTTACCAACTCTGAAACTGGGAGCACTGGGATCCTCGGAGCTCATAAATGCAGCATTACTGTTGTTTCCTGTAGATTGAGGCCTGTTGAAGTCTATAGTTAAGTCCAGATAGAAACTGAAAGGAGCCTCTGATACACTCTACACATTGCTGTGAATCATGTAGTGTCATAGTGATGTCTTTGTTGTCTCTCCTGTCAGCTGTGTTACATTTGAGCTGGTTTGCTGCTGCTGCTGCTCAGAGCCGTATTCCCTCCTCATGTCCAGGACTCCTGACTTGTTGATGTCTGATATCAAGTGTTGTTTGAGGGTTCCTGTACTCTGATGGACTTACTCCAGCATGCAGACAGTAACGGGCCTGAAATGAAGTGTTCTTCTAATCGTGTGTTTTAATCAGGAGATAAAAACCTCTGCAGGTATTTAAGTGGGGAGTGACTGTAGGAACAGACTTTGTTAAGCTTTTACATTGATGAGCCCATGCCCTGCTCATAGCACAGCTGATACAATGAACAACATTGTTCAGTAAGTGTGCCAGAGAGTGCTGATAACATGTGATGGCCGACATTTCTGGGGAAATTCCAGTGGCGCTGTAGGCCTCGAATTGAGATTGTTATCTTTAGTATATTGAATTTCTGGTGAGATTTGTCTGTTGTGTAATTCCATAGTCTTACTAAAACCACTCAGGACACCGTCTGTCAGCGGACTCTCTCTCTCTCTCAATTGCATCTCACTCTCACATGCACCGATGTTCTGGATAAACAAAAAAAAAGTCTGGTATCATTTATTTATGGCGGTCATGACCGTGTGACTGAGTGTTTGTGAAACACTGAGAGGATCATATAACTGCTGCGACTGCGGCTTGAAAAAGAGAATGTGACTCAGGTTTAAAAAACATTTTGAGTAGTCAGAACTCAAACTAAAATAAATAAATAAAAAAAGCAGGGAAATCATCGGAGCAAGTATTGAGATGAAACAGTGCAGGTTTGAGCTAACCATTTCAAAGTTACACACGGACTATAGCTGCATCGGTTCAACATCGGTATCGGCCGATATCGGCTCTGTTGACAAACATCGACACATCTGCATTAAAGCTAGTGGCGCTTACTGCAGGAAAAAAAAAAAGTATAATGTTGGAGTTCTTCTGTCTGGGAATAGAAACCTTCAATAAGATCACCTCTTGTTCACTGAGGCATCATGGGATTGACTGACCTACATCTGTTGCTCCCAACGAGCTGAACAGAATCCATCAGATCTGGGTGAGATGGTACCACCAGGCACAGCGCTGCACATGCACGCATGGATGAACATACAGAAACACACACCGCACACGAGCACCAATAGGAACATCTGTAGCAGGCACTAGTGTCCATTAACTCCCACTGCTCCGAGGGGGGGCGGCTGTACCCAGGTGTGTGGGTCATTGAGGGCTGAAGTAAGAAGAATAAAGTGACATAGATTTAATGTGCTGAGTCAGATCTCACGGTGAGCCACATATCTTCATACTGAGTTGTGTAAAAGTGTTCATATCAGTCGGCATTATTTCAATATGTCTTTGAGAGGTAAATATTGGATCTGATGAAAGTGGTCGGGTCGGGCTCTTATGAATTCAATAGAGAAAGAAAGGTTCCATCATGAAGTGTCTTAAGGGAGATCTTAAGTTACTGCCTGACTCTGGAAACCAACAGAGAGGAGTTTCAGTGCCGCCATGTACCATCCAGAAATCACTCAACGCCACAGCCATGTGCCAAACATCCCCCACCCCCCCCCCCACCCCACCCGCTCCAAACACACACAAACACAATCCAACAGCAAAGGCCACAGGTTAAAAATAGCAAACAAACAGGACACAGTGCACCCCCCACTCAGTCGTCCTCCTCGCTGGATTATCTTCATAATTCATGGTCTCACTGGCCTGTGGCTTCGATGGTTTTAAGTGTCTCGTTTACCTTGTAAAAGAGGATTGATGTGATGTTTTTTTCTAGACGACATCCGAGAAGAGACAGGAAATGTGGGGGAGGAGGACATGCAGCAAAGGGCCGAGGTCAGACTCGAACCCACAGCCGCTGCGATGAGGACTTAAGCCTCTACATGTGGGGTGCACGACATCGCCCAATCAATGCATGATTTAACAGCCTTCATAGGAATGAACTCTTTATATTAAAAAGTCTGTATTTGTTACACAGATGACATCTTCTTCAGACTCGTATCTTCACACTGCATGTAAATTTACCTGAAATGAGCGTGATCTAGAAACACAGTTAAGCAGTGAGTACAGTATGTTATTCTTCTTTTCTCTAGTCCCTCAATTAAACAACTTTTATACACGAGGGGAGGAGTCAGCCGGCTGTCCGGGCGATGTAAACAAAGTGAAGATAGGACTCTGAAAACATCACAGACAGTGGGACTCGGGTGTTCATGACTCACAGAGTTATTTTCAGAGGAGATACTTGATTTATATTATCATTCAAATTGATGTCAGTTTGAATGAACTGTGAGTCGGCTACATCAGTGTATCCTGCACAGAAGCTTTGCACCATGAAGCCTCTCCAAGTGGACTCAGTGTGTTTGCTAGCAGTTGCAGATGGGTACAGAGTGGACTGGAGGTTTTAGGTGCATAACTGTGATGACATTGATGTGTTGCTGCAGGTAACCTCCACAGTGATTTAGTATTGCAAAGACAAAAAGGAAATCTCGCGGCTGAAACTCATGGGACTGAATGTTTTCTGATGCTTTAACATCAGACCTGTCCTGTCTTGTTTTAGAGAGGCATCGCTTCATAACTTACATGTTAGGTAATAAAAAAAAAGAAGCAGCAGCTTCAAAGTCTTTAAAGCTGTCTCCAGATTTTCAAGAGTAAAACATGATTCACGTTTTCTTCTGTTAGAGCCTCAGGGTGGGGGATGATCACCTGCTTGTTATGTAATATTCCTGGGCTTGTTTTAGCTTAGCTGTCCTCCTCGCTGCATCTCTATTTTCAGTGCACTTGATTACATTGTTGAGTATTGCCACCCTGCTTAATGCCCTCCCGCCCCCCTCCCAGATTTACCCCTCAGATCTAGACGGCTACGCTCAGTCGCAGTTTGTGGGCTTTATCTCTCCGAGCTAACATGTCTTAACAGAATTTATTTTTTTTCTCCATAGAGGCCGCGCAGGGCAGACCGACAGAGAGCCATGGTGGAATACTACCAGATATTAGGAGTCCACAAGAATGCAACACAAAATGACATCAAAAAAGCGTAAGTGTTTTCTACTCCAGTTCCCCCCATGTTGCTAAATCTCCAGGACTCAGAGAGGGAGAGAGAGGGAGAGAGGGAGGGAGAGAGAGGGAGGGAGGGAGAGAGAGAGAGGGAGAGAGAGAGAGAGAGAGAGAGAGAGAGAGAGAGAGAGAGAGAGAGAGAGAGAGAGAGAGAGAGAGAGAGAGAGAGAGAGTTTCCACTGTATTTCCTGTAACCTTGTTGTAGTGATGTCACATACCTTCCCCCCCTACTCTCACCCACCTCTCCAGTTAATTGCACTTCCTCTGGTTTCTGCTTTGTTTTGATAAGAGCATCCTGAGTTGAGGTTTCTATTTGAATGTCAAGTACAGCAACATGTGTGTTTGTATTCAGAGAGAGTACAAAGTTACTCTGGGTAATGCAGAGCACAGAAATAAGCTGAGACTCTGAGTCAGTGTTTTAATGGGGCCAATCAATAAGTCAAATCAGCCTTTGACCCCCCCAGCTCGCACTCTATGATCTCTGATTGATTTATTGGCCTTGTTAGTCGCTCGGTGCTCGGGATGGCGATGTTGGTTCATAAGTTGACCTCTTGAATTCTGACTGAATGTCTCCTGTTTGCCAGTAAATTCAGATATTCATAGTCGCAGGAGGACGAATCCCTTTGGAATTTGTTTCACCAGCTAGTCTACATTAAACTATCTACAGAAAGATTCCTGGCTCTTCCATCGGTGCCAGGAGAAGGTGGACTTGTTGTGCTTATAGGTGACTTAACTTCTCCACAAGTACTGGATGGATGGTCATTAGGGATGCACTGATTGTATAAAATCAGGGGCCGATAACGATGCTTAAAAATAACAATTCTGCTGATTTGGAGAGCACCTTGCTTCTTTTGGTGTCAGACTCCCACAATGGCCGACCTTTTCTCTCATGTTTGAACATGATCAAAGATCAGAGGTTGCCTGACGGGTGACTTCCTCCTCCCAATAAATATAATAATCCTCGTCTCTGAATCAGTAGTTAGGTGCAGTTAGGTGTCAGCAGGTACTGTTTGTGCAGACCAAAATACAGAAGTTGTTCTGGTAGCTGGAGAGGTGCCAGGGCACTTCCCCAAGTACTGCAGAGGTACCCCCCCAACCGCTCTGCTGCGCTCCCTGTGCAGCAGCCCCACTCTCACATCTCTCCCACTAAGGCGGTTGTTGAATGTAATTAAAGTCACATTTTAATGGCAGCGTGGGAGTGTTTTAAAACCTCAGAGATGTTGGAAAAAACTCCAGAGTCGTTCACATGAGACACCTTTACAATCTCATACATCCATTCAGAGAGCAGGCGTTAACACTAGCCGAGCATTCAGTCAAAGATAATGGCTGTCGCTGAGAACACACAGCCTAACCCCTAACCCAGACTACACAGAGACCGGCAGCACATTGTCAGTCTGTTCTGTCCTCCATTGAGCAGGCTTTTAGACTGTTCACTATAGAACACACGGCCATAAGGAAAGTCAATCCCTGGATTGTGTTCAGCCCTTTTTCCCGGCTGACCCCTGGTCTCATCGGGTCCCCCGGTCTCATCCGCAGTATCTTTGTGTTGGCTGCTGCAGGGCTTCAGACCAAACAGCTGATGCAGCGTCAGCGGCTGTGTGAGCCTACACAGCGCCTCATTGGAGTTCAGGCTGTCTTTGTTATTTCTGCTCAGGAGGGGGGGAGGAGGACAGGGAGAGAGAGAGAGAGAGAGAGAGTGTATGTGTTCACAGAGTAGTTGTAGCGGTTAGTATGTTTGGTGTAGGCATGGTTGCCAATCTAAAAAAAGACGCCGTGCACGTGGATCTGTGTGTCTGATAGGAGCATGTCCGTTACACATACATTCATATTTTCCACCCTCAGCTCTGTTCCAAGAAGCGATCGGCTTATTTACACTCCTAATCTCATACACGATGCGTCGGCTTCTATTTTTATGTCCCATGTTTGACTTGGTGCTTTGTGTGTCTCAGTTACAGAAAATTGGCATTAAAGTGGCATCCAGACAAAAACCCGACAACAAGGAGGAGGCCGAGAGGAAGTTCAAGGAGCTGTCGGAGGCTTATGAAGTGCTTTCAGATGGTGAGGATCTCTCTGCAGAATATGAACCAACATGAAGACGGTTTGTTTCTCTGACTGTCTAGAAAGACGACGGTTCATGTATTAGATGCGTTCACGTTCAGTTTAGTTTACACGATCCACATCGCCCTGGTGGCTTTGCTTTATAACCAGTATTTGTTAAGTTGTGGTGAGGAGGTCCATCCTCGTGTGGGTAAGAAATATGACTCGACTCGATGTTGACTTTTTCTTTCACACCGGACTGTAACCTTGAGCTCCTCTGAAACACACCGTTCAAAATGAATCAGGGCTCTGCCTTCACTTTTGGTAAAGGTTGATAGCCTTGTAGCACAAAACAAAAACTTGTAGCACGATAAACGTCTGTTGTGTCTCTTAAACCGCGAGGAGTTCAGTTTGTCATTTCAACAGGTCGAGACTGACACAGGACTTTAATGTTGCACACAGCAAAGCTTGTGAAGCGTCTTACTGAACTCGTGTGTTGAACACCAAACTTCCTGATCGTGCTGTGTCTAAAAAAGGTCACAGTTCATATCTTATTCTTGTGTTTGTTGAGTCTGCATGTGATATCAGCTGTTCACAACAAGTCCATTTGCACACCAAACGTGAGACTTTAAGAACGCATCTCTCAGGCCTCTGCATTCACTTCCCTTTCTTTAACCGAGGTGTTCAGTTTCATACAGTCCAATGGTCTCGTTCCTGTTTCTGAATCTGCTGTAAACACAAAAATCATGCTGTGGATGTGACATTATGTGTGCACTGTCTGTGGTTTCAGAAGGAGCTAGAAGCCTGATCAAGAGTCAGACAGTAATAAAGATTTCTCTGTACGTTTGTTTTATTGCTCTTTATCTAAAGTCCAAACTCTGCCAAAACAGAAAGCCAGAGGAATATTTATGACCAGTACGGCAAAGCAGGCCTTTCAGGAGGAGGAGGAGGAGGAGGAGGAGGGCGAGGAGGAGGAGGAGGTAAGGACACGATGACTTTGTATCTGTGCCACGGAGGTGACTGATAAGATTTTAGTTGTTAATAACAGAATAAATACGAGGAGGCTGGAGGAGAAACATTCAGCTGTTTGTGTTCACTCATGAAAACTTCAGGAGTTTTTCTGGAGTTGTGTGGCGGCGTGAACGAGGCTAATGTTGATATAACGTTGGCAGCAGTGAAAAAAACGCTCTTTTTATTCTTTAAAATGTAGGACACACATCTCTGTGGTGCTTCATTATTAATCATAGCTGTTCATCATCTCTTACAGGAGGCCATTACGATCACTTTGGCGGTGGCGGCGGCGGCTTCACATTCCGTAATCCTGAGGACGTCTTCAGGGAATTCTTTGGTGGCAGAGATCCATTTGCAGACTTTTTTGGTGAGTCCATTTTTTAATTTTTGGCTTATTATCAGCTGCATCATTTTATCTGTTTAAGAAGACTTAACACAGATAACCCAGCATGATGGAGAAACCCTTCAGGTTCTAGATTCATAGCGTGTAGATTTCTTTTATTTCCTAATTAGTGCCTGTTAGCGATTAGCTCGCTGCTCCTGCTGTGTGGAAATGGAGCATCATACCCGGGAAACCTTCTGTGAAGCCCGGTGATCACCCCCCCACGGTGCTGCATTCACCTGGGGAGGTCATCAGCCACTAAATGTCACAGGTGTGCCTCTCTGCTGGGTCTAGACTTCTGCCTCAGTGTGACTTCAGAAGGCCGCATCATTAGAGAGAAAAAGATGACGTTGAGTCGACGGGAATCATGGGAGTTCTCTCTGCTACTCCCCCCCCCACCTCCCGATGAAAACAAACTCTGAGTCGACGTAGTCATGGCGACCGGGCGAAACTGACTTGAGGAAGAGAATATGTTCACAGACGAGCTAATGTACCCGAGTATAATCCCCCCGAGTGATGCTGTCTTTCTCATTTGATCGATAGATGTGATTCATTAATAACAAATCCTGATTGACAGCACTAATGTAGACAAACAACAAGCTTAGAATACCAGCAGAACCGCTTTTTAAACACCTTTGTTTGGTTCTGTCTCGTGTGTTGACCCTCCACGGTCCAAACTGTACCACTCTTCATTAAATCAATCTTATTGGTTGAAAAGTCTGGTGTCTGGTGGAGTTTGGTGGAGGGTCCTGAGGCTACACCGGTTGAGAGGCACCCGTCTGGCCTGCATGGTTTGTCCTGAGCGGTCTGGGTTCAGCTGAAGGCTGATTGGACGGCATGTGTACTTCACCCCATGGAGCTCTAAATATGGAGCTCAGACGCAGGCGGAGGATGGATCGAGAGTCTGCATCACTCAACTGGAATGCTTTCAAAAATAGCTTCAGTATTAAACAAAAGCAGATGTAATAACGACAAGTGTGTGCGTCTGCGAGGGGTCTCAGAGAGTCGCAGCAAATTTGAATCATGGCGACTGGACTGAGCCACATAAACATCGTAAAATCATGTACATTTAGCACACCTGTTGTTAGAAGTGCTGCTTAAAAATAGAGGGAAGTGGACGAGAACGTGATCGTCTTTGACATCAGATAGTTGTTTTTCTTTATCACACTGACCCGTGTTAGTTTTGTATGTATTGGCCCGGGTCAGCTCAGCTGTTTACTCTTTTCATTGAACGAGGAGCATTTAAAAAAAGACAAACTGTAAAGCTGTGTCGCACAGAAGACTCACATGCTGAAATACAGCATTCTTTCAGGGAGCTCTGGGACTTACTTAAATGGGTTAAAAAGGAGAATAATATGTGACCTTTGACCTTCTTTTTTTGACCTTTATTGTGCTTAGCTGGTAGGAAACAGGATACATCTTGTAGTGCTTATTTTTACCCTCTCAAGTGGTCTTCCTCAAATAGATCTGTGAAGAAATAACAATTTCTTTGATTTGTTTAACTCGACACGGCTGAGAGCGTTCTGATCTGTTTTTTCAAATCTCATCCAGCGTTCTGCCCCGACTGTCCAGCAGCTCGTCTCAGTGAGCAGCAGCTGGTCCTCTGGATCTGTCACTCACCTCAGAGCGGCCAGCAGACCTGGAGGGAGGGGGGGAGGAGGGGGGGGGGGTTGTAGATGTTCACTTGGTGGGGAGGGCTAAGTTGCCTTCCAAGAACAGCACACACTCATTCTCAAATGGACATGTGAAGAAGCAGTTACCAAGAGGTTGTTTTTACACACTTGAAATTGAAATATGGAAGATTTTAAATGAAATATTGCACTAAAACAAATAGACGTATTCATATGATTTAATTTGTACATTTTTAAGGTCACATATTATTTAAAATCCACTTCCCCATGTTCCTCTAACATGTGTCTCTAGTCTGTCTACAAACCCCCCAATGATGAGAAACGTCCACTTTTCAGAAAATGTGTGCTCAAACAGGCCATTTGGAGATTTTCCCTTCATGACATCACAAAGGGCAGTAGCCCCTCCCCCAGGTGGGTGACACTCCCACAGCTAGGTGTTTGTTCTGCCCTCTGAGTCTGCCTTCTCACCGTAAACAATAGGACATGAAGCGAGAAAGCACCAAGTACACCAAGCCCTTCCAGAGAGGGGGCGTGGTCAGACACAGCTCATTTACATATTTAAAGTTACAGACACAGAAACAGCCTGTTCTGAGCAGGGCTGAAATAGAGGGGTTTATAGACATGATCAAATACAGGATCAGAGTGGATTTAGAACAAGAAACTTCACACACATGTTTTGAGGAGCTCTGAGACTTTAATTTAAACTGGTTGAAGAGGAGGAGAGTATGTGACCTTTAAGCTCCATTGGCAGCCTCATGTACTGAAGGTGTGGCACATTCTTCACAGATTTAATTCCTCCTTTGTGCTTGACAGGTTTTATGAAGTTCTGTCAGAACGCCTTACCTTTACTTTTCCTCCCCAGCTGCCTCTACGTGTACTCTGATCATGAACACAAAGCAGAAGCATCAGTCAGGGAACCAATTTTTATTTTCTGCTCTCTGTCGGAGGGAAACAAGCGAAGCGTTCTTGTCGCTGCCTCGGTACATCCGAGTCTTCTCTCAGCAGACGGTGCCACTGATCCGCCCTCATCCTGCTGCTGTGACCCAGATCGACAGCACGCAATTAGTCGCATGTCCACAGGGTTTTAGGACGAGAATAAGTGGTGGGCACTTTAGGATGGGACGGTTTAGGGTTTTTTTTTTTTTTTTAGATTGTTCCGGAAATTACGATCGCATGCGATGACATCCAGCTCTTTTTATTATAAGGTACTTATTCTGCATCCTAATCAATAAGACCTTCAGATGTTCTACCCCCCCTCTCTCTCTTTAGCTCGTATGCGGGGAATTGATTGGTAAACCAAAATAAAGGTTGGGGAATATACTTGGCTGGCCATGAATAAACCTCGGCGGCCCGCCCAGGTATCGTCCATGAGTGGGAAAAGTTGCCTCGTTTGAACTTTTGCGTTTTCCCTCCACAGCTGATGACCCCTTTGACTTCGGAGGAGGTCGCAGTCGTCAGAGGGGCGCCAGCCGAAGCAGGATGGCGGGGCCCGTCTTTGGTTTTGGAGGCTTCCCAGCCTTTGGGCATGGCTTCTCAGGGTTTGATTCAGGTGCTTACCTTTTACCTTAATGTGTTGCATTACTCTACTGAATGTATAAACATCTTAACGGAGGTGTTTATTGAAACACGTGTGCTTCTCTGTAGGTTTTAGCTCGTTTGGAGAGATGGGTGGAGGAGGGATCACTTCATTCTCTTCTTCGTCTTTTGGCGGTGGAGGAGGAGGAGGAGGAGGCGGCGGAGGTATGGGTAACTTCAGATCGGTGTCGACCTCCACCAAGTTCATCAACGGCAGAAAAATTACGACAAAGCGGTAATTACCTCATCAGCATTTTCACAGGAGTGGAATAAAAGTACTCTTATTTACGTCCAGTCGACTGAGGCTCTGACGGACAAAACCTTCGACCATATAAAACTCATTTATTCAGTCTGGCTTTTCTATAGTGCTTTATATCAATTCAAATCTTAACATATTGTATTGTCTTTTTTATCCTACTACAATTTTAAATATTCTTCTCCTATGTATTAATTTTAATATCTTATTGCTTTTATGCGTCATATTTTATTTTTTCATTTATATACATGTATTTTTTAATTCTTATCAGTGTGCATTAGTCTCTCTGATTTCATCAATGACTTTTCTGTTGTAAAGCACTTTGAACTGCAATTTCATTTGTCTGAAAGGTGCTATATAAATAAAGATTGATTGGTTGATATGGGGTCGCCTCTCGGTAAATCAAATGAACAGCATGTAACACCTGAGCTGAAGGCACGTTTTCTTATCTCAGGACTGAAACAGTTTCTGATTATTTCAGGTATTCGTGCTAAGCTAATCTTCTCACTGAAGCTTGTTATCTACTTTGCAGACATCAATCAATCAATTTTTATTTGTATAGCGTCAACTCATAACAAGTGTTATCTCGAGACACTTTACAAAAAGCAGGTAAAAAGACTTATTATGTTACAAAAAGGAGGTAAAGCTGGTATTGATCGTCTTTTCTAACTCTCCTAGGGGGACGCCATGTGTTTCTGTCTTCATCAACTTGTCTGCCTTCTTGTGTGTTTGTCACAGGATCGTGGAGAACGGCCAGGAGCGCGTGGAAGTGGAGGAGGACGGTCAGTTAAAATCTCTAACAGTAAATGGTAAGGAGCAGCTCCTAAGACTGGATAACAAGTAATTATCTCGATTTTCAAACAAACAGTTCGACAAACAAACAAACAAACAAACAGCTGGAACAAAACTGGCTGTGACCACGTTTTGCTACGGGGTTTGGCGGTTGGTCTCTCCTCCATCTTTATCCCTGAAGAACAATTCTCTCACTTTGAGGAGAGGCGAGCGACATGTCCACCATGTTTGTATATTTGTATTTATTCCATTATTAACGGGGGAGGGGGGGCGTTTAGCTGGAGTTTCTGTACAATAATGAAACTATACTTTTTACTGTGCCATGTGATCAACGCTGACGACGTGCTATATCTCTACACTTGCCTGATTCTGGGGATGTTGTCTTTTGAGTATTTGCAGGGGAAACACCTCGCTGTACTTTGACACTCACGCATGTCGTTTATTTTGCTCTGAATGTCTTTAACTTGAACTTCCACCTCGCTAACCTGTCACCATGTTCACGCCTGTGTAATATGATGGACGTATAGAGCTTTAATAAATTAACGACTGTGTGCACTCTTTTCTTACTTTGACATGGGTTTGTGTGTTTGAAACTTCCACCGTGTCTTTCTCTCTGCTCCTGCATGATGATCGCTGCTTCCAGGAAGCTGCTTTGTAGTTTTTACTATAACTTTATCAACAACATAAACCATTAACAACAAATTCCATGTTTGACAGCCAGGGGAATTTTCAGATTTTGTAAAAAGAAAAAAAAAATCAGATTTGGTCAATAAACTTCCGTTTGTGGAACCTTGTAATAAAGCTGCTGCAGTGTTTTTTGTGTGATGTTTCTCACTAAGGTTTGTGTGTGTGTGTGTGTGTGTGTGTGTGTGTGTGTGCCTGATCACATCTGAAACCTGCTTCACACAAACTGCAATAAAGGAAACCACAGTGGCTGCTTCTGTTTTAACACTCACCCATCATACAGCTCGTGTGTGCTCATTCATTTAATCCTACTGATGTCTCCGTGTGAGAAAAGCTGACTCACGTTTGGGCTTGGTCACTGACGGCATGATCCTGAGGAAATATTGACTGTTTCAGCAAACGTACCACGTTACCCTTAAAGGTCCCATATTCTTCTTTTTCTGGTTTTATATGCTCTTTAGTATGTTTTCCAAGTGTCCTGTGCATGTTTAGGTTCATCTATGTGCAAAAATTCATCAAAGTTCGCGGAAACGTGGCTTCTCCTACCTCCTCCGGTTAGCTGTAGCATTAGCTGCATGTAATGCTCGGTTCTAGCCCCCCTCTGGCCCCCCCTCATGTTGAAATTTCCGAGACGTGTGCTGAGTAACTGACCAATAACGACAGAGCGGATCGGCAGACCAATCAGAGCAGACTTGGCCCACGTGGGGTCTAACAGTGTGGGCTCAACAGAGTGTAGCTGACGGACTCAGAGCGGAGAGGGAGCAAGGAGGAGCAGTTCATGAAAACAGACACTTTTTAAAACTTATCTATTGTGAACGTACAAAAGTTGGTACATAGATTAAATATACAAACCCCAAAAAGGGCAGAATATGGACTCTTTAAAGGAGCAGTATGAACCTCTGACACCTAGTGTTTAAAATGGGTACTGCAGTTCAAATTCTAAACATTATAGAGAGCTGTCTCCCCCCCCCCCCCTCCTCTCTATAGTGGATGCTCACTCAGGTCACCATGTGGTGGACTCTGAAGCTTCAGTGTTTATCCAGCTCTGCATGGGTCTGTAAACCTTTCTGTGTTCTAACCTCTCTCCATTTTTCAAAAGCATCTCCAATATTGATCCTAGTTTGAGCACGTTTCTGCTCGTGGAGCTTATTAGAAACATGCAGAGGCTTTTTAGGTCGAGTACAATCACTTCTGTCTGAACCACTTCTCTTGACCGCTTCCATCACTGCAACACCTGTTGACCTGATAACTGCTCTCATATCTGACAAACCGAGGGGCGTCCAAAACGACCGTGTGTGGGCGTGTCTTAAAAGCGCCTACCTTCTCTGGTCCAAACAAATCCAGAGCATTCAGGAGCAGAATCTAAAGTTAGAAGGAGGACATACTGGCTGCTGCATTGTTGTCAGAGAAGCCAGCACTTCAACATAGCATGTTTCCTTAATGTCTGATCAGATAGTAAGATACCTTTATCATCTCACTCACTACACGTCTCACTGATTGGACCTTTAAACCCTGAAATATTTGTTTTTCTGCGTGGTAAGTTTGCTTTTCATTACAAACCCTGGAGACAGAAACACCTTATTTCATGACTGATGAACCCTTCCGTGTGCTCGTCTCTGCTCGACACTCCCATAAAGACCTTTTTTTCTTTCAAAAGCGCTCATCTCTTTCAGCATGAGCACCTGAATCCTGCAGAGACACAAAAACAAACCCAGGAAAAAGCTCAATCGTGTCTCCTTAAACATGACGCATCCCCCTCTAACTGGTAAAAATCCAACTTTTACTCGGATTTAGGTTAACAAAAAAGCTGCATGCTAAAACTCCAGTAAACATGAAACGATTTAGGATAAAAGTCAAAGTTAAATGGAGAAGTGTGTAAGATTGCAGTTGTCTCAGAGGTCACTGTGTACAGACAAAGAGTGAGTGTGTGTGTGTGTGTGTGTGTGTGTGTGTGTGTGTGTGTGTGTGTGTGTGTGTGTGTGTGTGTGTGTGTGTGTGTGTGTGTGTGTGTGTGTGTGTGTGTGTGTGTGTGTGTGTGTGTGTGTGTGTGTGTCATGAGGAATGCGCTCTAGGCTAGTTTATTTACACAAGCCTCACTGCATATTTTTGAGAGAGGGAGAGAGAGAAGTGGAGGGTTAGGGTGAGGCCTTCAGATATCCAGACATCATAAAGTAACGTTATCAGTCTTCAGGGTCATGTCTGTGTGTCTGTGTGTGTGTGGCTGATAATCAGGAGCCATGACTGTAACTACTTGCTTTGTTTCTCTTTCAATTCCTGATTGTTTCTGGTTGAATCAGCGTTTGCACTTGCGCGGTCCTGTTGCTAGGTGACGCTGCAGCCCGCTGCCTACACGGCTGGTTGTTGTGCTGCATGTGTAAGTCTGTTTCATGTTCATGAGATTTTAAGGAGAGATCAGACACATTGATATTAAGTAAGGAAAGGGTTAAATTAATGTAAAGAAAGAAACCAAAGGGAGGATCTCAAACAGCAGAGGTGCAGCTGCAGGTGTTACATTAATGGTGCAATTGCGCCCTCTGCTGGATCCACAGAGGTTTAGCATTTTTCAACTAGTATCTGATTATTTACAGTCAATGCTCCATCAACATGACAACACGAGGCATCACAACAGCAACAATATAAAGTCAAATCAACTTCTCAATTTGGAAACTGGGATTATCCGAGGAGCACCTGAACGCAGCATTACACAGGAGTGAAGTTTGTGTGCACATTTATTAACCCTTTCTATCGAGCACATCTACTTTAAAGTAACACGAGAGAATGGCAACATATGAATCTTCATAACTTTATTCTTTGAGGACTCAAGAAGATGATGTTTGTCCTAAATCAAAATTATTTTATAGACTTTATTTGAGTGATTCTTACTTAAGTCCCACCTCTGATGAGGCAAATAGCCAATCATAGTTTGTGATTTTTGGGGTGAAACCAATATTTACAGTCTATGGGGTGAAACCTGCTACTGGTGGGCTGCTGTCTGCAGAGAGAGGAGTCTCCCTCATGTCAATTTGATTCTGCTGAATTAAGGTTAAGAGTGCAAACAATGGTCGAGTCATGTTGAGCGCGCCCTCTGCTGGATTAAACTGCAAACTACTTCATGCAGCCTGATAGGATGATAACTGTACATTTTGAATTTGAACGTCTCGTTACAGTTCGAATGTGAACTTCAGGGACAGTAAGGGTTTTATTTTGGGGGTCACGGGCTGGAACCCCTGCTCTAAGGCATTGGTTCCCTACCTGGGGTCCAGGTCCCTCTATGGGGTCACCAAAGAGCTCAGATGGTGAACTCTGTCTGCTCTTAGGTCATCAAAAGTTGACTTGAACATGTTGAGTTCCTCCTCATAACAAACGTCTTATAGGACAAGTCTGTCGGCCTCTTCTGTCGGGACTGCACCAACGGAAACACCTACAATTGATGTTCACTTTTGACAGCAATGTATTTTTTCAATGTGGGTCCTTGAGGGTCAGCTTTTTTTAGACACAAGTCGGGGGGCTCCATTAAAAAGCGTTGGGATCCCCTGCTCTAAGGTTGTACAGCAATACGTCAGGTAAAGCTTCCAGGTCTCTAAAAACTGGTGATGCCTTTAAGGACCTGCTATGACACTTTCAGAAATGCTGCTCTAGCTCCTCCTCTAAACAAGGACCAGGTTCAAGCAGGGGGGTGAGCATCTGGCCCCCTTTATTCTCCTCTCAACCGCCTTAATTACACAACACAATGGCGATGAGATCTTTTTTTTTTAAATCTTGGCGCCATGTAGAAATAAATAAATGAATACAGATTAAATGTTGGTGTGAACACCTCAGGCCAGACAGCGAGAAGAGAGGCTTTAGGTGTGCTTCATTCCCACTCAGCTGTGCTCTGCTCACACCCACAGACGTCGCGGCTGAAGACTCCTTGGACGAAGACTTCCGTCGCCGCAGGCAGAACGCACTCCCCGGAATCGCCCTGCACCAGCGTTACCTGAGGAACTCCGCCCAAAACCCCTCGGAGGAAGAGGAGGAGCACGGCCTACAGAGTCTGGGACTAACAAGAGGTTCGCCCACCCGCCAATGCAGGGGCTGATTAATTACCCGCACACACGGCTCCCCTTTAAAGACATGCATACCTCCCTACTCGTACGGCTCCTCAGAAAACATGTTTTTAACTTCTACTGCAAAATGAAAGTAAGAGTTTAAAGGAGCAGTATGTAACTCTGACACCTAGTGTTAAAAATGGGTAGTGCAGTCCAAATTCTAAACATTGTAGAGAGCTGTCTCCCCCCCTCCTCTCTAGAGTCGATGCTCACACAGGTTGCCATGTGGTGGACACTGAAGCTTCAGTGTTTAGCCAGCTCTGCATCGGTCTGTAAACCTTTCTGCCGTTCTCACCTCTACCATCCAGACACCCAAATACTCAAATAATAATTGAGTCAAGGAACTACACATCCCACAATCCATTGTGAATAATACCTCTTCTTCTTAAATGTAACTTAAGTCGTTGTTATCGTGTTTATTCTGTGAACTCAAGTGTTGTAATACCTTGTGTTGTTGAAAATATAAATTACATTCACTGCAACATAACGAGGTGATTAGCACTTTTCCTGTTAGCTTTCAAAACTATTGTCACATATGTTGCAGAGAGGGAAACATTACCATGGTAACAGCGAGCTCCACCAATCAGAGACGAAGCTGTGACACTCTATGGTCGTGGGTAGTGTAGTTATTTTCCCCCGATATCTTGAATAAACCGTGTTAGCTGGTGGTCAGTCTACCTGTGGTGGTTATGACATCACTGCTAATAATAATATCGGCTATGGAGAAAATGAATGAGGTTTTTACTTCCTGAACCACACTGTTGAGCACTTGTCTTTCCATTACTTCCTACTTTAAAAAAAACATTTTACAGCGAGCAAATGTTGTTTAGTTCATCTTAAAGAAAATTAAATATTAAGCATTGTGTTGCAGCGTATAAACCCTCCTCTATAGGAGTCTTATAAGAGAGAGGGACTGCATCATATTATATTTGATAACATATTTACTGACACTGTTTCCTCTTCTTCTGTTTCAGGACACACGGACACCAAGAGGAAGAAACTGTGGCCGAAGGAGGCCGAGTCCAAAAAGAAAAGAGCTGCTCGACACTTCCCTCGGTTTGGTGGACTCGGAGCCTTTTTTTAAACACACACACACACACACACACACACATGAATATGTATAGTTGTCGGCAGAAGCGCCATCCATGATTAGTGTAATATTGCGGTGCAGGTTAGGGTTGGGGTCAGAGGTCGGCCTGCAGAGATCTCACCTTCATGTTGTGTTTTTGTCCAAGAAACATTTTTAGTAGTGAAGCTTTTTTTAATCGCTGTATTTATTGTGGGTGGGCCCGACGGATGTAAAGTGACACGTTTAGACACTTAATCTCCCGTGATTGGACTTCTTGTCTTTTTAATTTTGTGTTTGAATTTTAGGCCGGAGCAGAATTCAAGCAGCCGTCTTGTTTTTTGATACGATGGAACAATAACTGGGGTGATAGCGTGAATAGAAAAGAACAGGCGAAGGTCAATCTGCTCAGAGGACGCTTATTTACGACTAGAAGAGAGGAGACGTCTTCAGTAGAGAGGAGACAGAGTGTCCACCTCTCGTGGGTGTTTTTGTAAAAGATTTCTCATCCCGGTGTTCATCATTTGATGTTTCCTTCAGTATTTGTTCTCCTGGTTGTTTGAAAGGTGGAAATGTAGCGATATCAAAGACATGTTCATTTTTTTATGGACTCTTACCAATAAATGCTTCAAGAAAACACTTTGTTATGTTCTGCTTTATTTTATGTTACAGTATGGATAGTGTGTGCTGAATGGAGGTGGATATGTTTCAGCTGTATTCTTTAAAAACTGCTGTATAAGCTGCACTTCTTCTTTGGGAGCCGTGCAACAAGCTAACGTGTTGGCAACAGTTAGCATTAATAGGGTGACCACCACACGTCCTGATTTGACCCGGGACCCGTTTACAAGCTGAGTCCCGAGTCCCCACAAATATCTATAAATCACTATGTCAATCAATGTCGTTGCCATGGCTGCTGCAGTTTTAACCAATAGCAGTGAGGAGAAACACCAAGCGGATAAAGCTCGGTCTAAAACGAGGGTGAACCTTCTGTTGGCTTTTACCCGTGGAAGTGGAGATGGTCTGATTCCTGTTGGACAGGCAGGTGACAAACACCAGCAGTTAGCTTGTGTGCTAGCTTGAGTTAGCTTGCAGTGTAGCTACAAGCAGTAAACGTACACACGTACACACTACGTCCTGCAGGGGGCGATGAGCCCAGGAGGAGGGGCCCAGTTAGAATGTTGTGTTTACAAGCTGCAGCCAACATTTCTACCGACTCCATCTTTAAGAATAAATATTTATTTGGGCAGCTTTAATTTAAATTCCTTTGCTAATTGTTTAGCACTAAAACACCAGGTCAGATTCCTTGTATGTGTAAATGTAGCCTACTTGGCAATAAAGTGATTCTGATAGTGAAAACAAAAGAGACACAAACTCTGTGTTCTGAAGTTCATTATGTTTTATTATCACTGTTCAATTATCATTTATGCTTCAAAAGGCAGCAACAGTTTAAGTGAAAAAAGCCAACTAGATATATTTTTCACAAAGCTTCAGATTCAGAAGGGAGAGATGGCTGTGGCTCAGTGGTAGAGTCGGTCGTCTCTCAACAGGAAGGTCGAGTGTTTGATCCCCAGCTCCTGCAGCCACATGTCCGATGTGTCCTTGGGAAAGACACTTAAATCCAAGTTGCTTCCGCTGCTTCGTTGGCGGCATATGAATGTGTAAAAGTGCTTTTAGTAGTCAGAAGACTAGAAAATAAATAAAGAAGCTCAAGTCTATTTACTGTTTAGTGTGATTTTACAAATGTTTGTAATGTGAAATTCATGCAAAATAATGGTGATAATGGTGAAACCGGGATTATTCCTCAGACTATAACTGGAATGTCAGACAAGAATCCAGCAGTAGACCTCCATATGTGACCTCAGAAACCTGACTCATTGAGCGACCATTGATCTTAACATCTCATGCAGTTGATGCGATGTCGACCAGAAGAGAAATGTATAAACACCGTTTTTTTAACCATTAGAGTCAAACACAAATTCTGGAGCCAACGCGTAGTGATTTGATAATTAGTGTGAAAGGACACTTGCTGTTCACACATGCAGCTCAGCTTGATGAGGTCAGGAAATTTTAGGAGTGCAGTGCATGTTTTAAAGAGGATATTACTCTAATACATGTTACATATGATCAAGTTCTGGTTTGTACTTTTTGTAAGAAATAGAATCAAAATAATCATCACATGAGAAGAATAACTGCAGCATTTCTTGGTAGAGTTTGATCCCTTAACATTTCTACTAGCTGTTTCATGTTTGACCTTCCACTCCTGTAATGTGTGGAGAACAAATTCATTAGAAATACAACTGAAATGAGCTCTGATGTGATTCCTCTGTCAGTCCCTGATGGATGAAGCTCTCCTCAGCTTTCAGAGCTTCTCCACCCACAAGATGGTGGAGGTCCATCCTCTGTGGCTCATCAGGACACAGCTGCTCCTCTCTGCACCACCAGCGTCCTGATGGCTCACATTCTGTCAGAGATCATCACCAGCTAATGAGAGAAGAAGACAGATCACAGAAATCATTTTCTACACAGACCCCCGTCATCAGCTGTAAGTCATCAGATTCCCCCACAGCGCTGTAACTAAGCTCCGCCCTCACTCCACCTTTGTACTTTAACACTGAAGCCGTAGTTTGGACATTAATACTCTCTGATGTTTCTTTTTTCTGCCAGTTGTCCTTCCTGCATTTGTTCCTGCAGCTGTGTAACTTTAGTCTTTGGGAGCCTGTTTGTCTTAAACTTCTTCATGTTATTAATATAGTTTGTTCAGAGTTTGTTAGATATGACGATCTGCTGACAGCAGACTGTGATGATGTGATAGGTCATGAAGCTAACTCTGCCCCTTTTCTGTGAACGTGCTCTCTGAAACTCCGGGTTTATGAATTGCCCCCCGGGGACAAATAAAGTTTTTTGAATTGAATTGAATTGAATTGAATTTATTTATCAGGTTGATAACCAGCTTCATGTGACTGTTCAGCACGATCTCTTATGTCAGGGTTAGTGAAGCCAAATAACAGAAAAATAAACCCTGGGTATGTTTAACTGTCTTCGTAGTATAGACCCCAGAAAATGATTTCTCCGACCAAAAACAAGAATCTAAATTCTATTTATGACCTGATATTTGGAGTGTTTACTAAACAACACTGAGAGACTGACCTCAGAGTCGCCAGTCGATAGTTTGGATTTTTCTCAAGATCTTTCAGCAGCTTCACATCTGAATCCTGCAGCACGTTCGAGGTCAGGTCCAGCTGTTTGAGATGGGAGGGGTTGGACTTCAGAGCTGAGGCCAGAGAAGAACAGCTGATCTCTGACAAACTGCAGTTCATCAATCTGAATAAACAATAAAAAAATAATAAAAATAATGTATAATCCACTCACATGTGTTCAGGTCAACATCACTTTGTCCTGATGAATAAAGTTTTCTCTAAATGATTAGAGGATCATTTCTGATTGTGTATTCACTAAAGCTAAATCCTCCACATGTTAGCACAACATTCATACAGCTGTTCATGTGCACAGATGAAGAACAGGCTGCTGATCTCAGTCAGCTTTGTGATGTTAGTACATTTATCAAATCAGACATTATTGAATCCAAAGTCTTCATGATTTCACTTCTTAACAGAACCAGAGGAAACCAGAGGCTTCATGTGCACGTTGTTCAACTTCACATAGGCAGAAAAACATTTTCACATCAAATCTTTTAAATTATTCAGCAGCTTGAAAAAAAAAATCTTCTAAATGATTACATTTCCCAAGATTTAAATTCAGACAAATACAGAAAATATATAATTCCTGAAATGTGCAACAATGGAGGATGTGGATTGATATGATAGAAATGAATGACACAGTCAGTGATCTGACCTCAGAGTCTCCAGTCTGCAGTTTGGACTCTGCAGATAATCACACAGCAGCTTCACTCCTAAATCCTGCAGCTTCACGTTTCTGCTCAGGTCCAGCTCTCTGAGATGGGAGGGGTTGGACTTCAGAGCTGAGGCCAGAGAAGAACAGCTGATCTCTGACAACCTGCAGCGAATCAATCTGAATAAAGAATAAAACAAGAATAAAAATTATGTATAATGCACTCACATGTGTTCAGGTTGTGATGAGTATCTCAACATCACTTTGTCCTGATGAATAAAGTTTTCTCTAAATGATTAGAGGATCATTTCTGATTGTGTATTCACTAAATCTAAATCCTTCACATGTCAGCACAACATTCATACAGCTGTTTATGTGCACAGATGAAGAACAGGCTGCTGATCTCAGTCAGCTCTGTGATGTTAGTACATTTATCAAATCAGACATTATTGAATCAAAAGTCTTCATGATTTCACTTCTTAACAGAACCAGAGGAAACCAGAGGCTTCATGTGCACATTGTTCAACTTCACATAGGCAGAAAAACATTTTCACATCAAATCTTTTAAATTATTCAGCAGCTTGAAAAAAAAAAAGAAACTTCTAAATGATTACATTTCCCAAGATTTAAATTCAGACAAATACAGAAAATATATAATTCCTGAAATGTGCAACAATGGAGGATGTGGATTGATATGATAAAATGAATGACACAGTCAGTGATCTGACCTCAGAGTCTCCAGTCTGCAGTTTGTACTCTGCAGATAATCACACAGCAGCTTCACTCCTGAATCCTGCAGCTTGTTGTCACCCAGGTCCAGCTCTCTGAGATGGAAGGGGTTGGACTTCAGAGCTGAGGCCAGAGAAGAACAGCTGATCTCTGACAAACTGCAGCTGAACAAACTGAATAAAGAATAAAAGATGTAAATGTAGATGACAGTGAGCTTTATGCATGAATGTGTGATGTTGTCCACATGAACACACTGATGTGATCATCATCTGTTCATTCCAACATTTAAGGACTTGATTGTGATTCATTCATGTTTTTGTTCTTCCTGATCATTCTTAGATTCAAACACTCAAAGCTCCTTTGAGGAACTTTAATTGGGACGGCTGTGGCTCAGTTGGTAGAGTCATTGCCTTTCTGCCGAAAAGTTGAGGGTTCAATCCCCAGCTGGGCAACATGTCCAATGTGTCCTTGGTCTTAACTCCACATTGGTCCTGCTGCTTCAGTGACAGTGTATGAATGGATTAGTGTAGTTCTTCCTCTCTGATGTATGTCACTTTGGATAAAAGCATCTGCTAAGTGAGTTGTAACTTGTAATTGCGTGTCCATTTTGGCGACCCCTCTGGACAAAGTGAAACCTCTTTACTGATCTTGTCCTGTACAGTATTCCTTAACAAAAAACTGTTTTTCCCACTTTGAACTCTACAAACTACAAGTCAGTGTGACTCTCTTCTGTAGAGAATGTAAATAAAGCTTTTCCAGACAGCGTCCTGTGATTCTCCTCATGTGACAGCAACCAGGTGGAAACAGGCAGACTTTCAAAAGGACTTTATAATGTTGTTGGTCTCATTAACTTTAGCCAATCACCAAGAGAAATCCAGATTACTTTCAGTCTGTTCCATCAGCAGATCAAACCTCCTCACAGTACGTTTCAAATCACAGAGTTTGTTTTTATATATGATCATAAAAAACATGAACAGTATGAAAAAGAGGAAGAATTTATACAATTAATTTCACATTTTTTACTATAAAGCAGATGATTTCCACTGGATTCTGGTTCCTGTTCGGCGACCAGGGCACTGGTCCATATGTGTTTGTGACATGTATTTACTTGTCATTATAGGTCGACACTTTTACAAAACGTGATCAGTATCAGTGCTTGAAGTATTTAGGCTCAAAGTGTGTATGCGTGTTCTGTTTATTGTGGTAACTATTTTACAGATAATGAAGCCACAATACAGATAAATCTTTTGTTTAGATTCTATTAATGGTGCTGGCTTCCATGATGAACAGTAAATGGAAACATTAAGGTTATTATGACAAAAGATGTGTTCAGTTCAATGTTCTGTTCTTTATTACTTTGTGATGGAGTCAGCTTTTGATATCCATTGAAGTAGACCACAGAGGGATCCATTTGATTCATCCTTGTTGCCTTTTTAATTAAATACGTGTCTTGTTTGTGTAGTTTGACATGAGTCATTTAAGGAAATGGTGGAGCATATATTCACTGACAACTTCACTGTGCCATAAGAGTGATAAGTTCTGTTGGTTAACAATATCACCATCAAAAAAAGGCTGAGAGAAAGAGAGGACTTTCCCAGGTTAACTTATCATGGAGAGTGTTTCGAACTCGTGCCGAAGAAAAAAATATTGTTTCACATCCTATCGACCTAAGCTTCCATTTCTGCTGAAATGTATAAATACCCCAAACATAGAGGTCATGGACCCTTGCATACTTGTTATATTTTAGGATTATCAAGGCAAAATAATTAAAGTGTCCGAGGAAATGGCGTACAGTTTGTTGCCTTTACCTCTTCATTGTTAAGTTTGCAATAATGGATTATTATCTGTATTTATTTTCCTAAATAAAGCATGACCTTTGAAAAAACTGTGTTCTGATAACAATAATTATTTCATAATAATGAACTAAACAACTAAACAAAAAATTTCAAAATGAATAAACTAGTAAAAGTTGTGGGTGACGGGGTGGCATCGGACATCTGACCCCGCCTCTTTCCACGATCGCAGTGAGGGGTTATTGAATCACTCAGCAATTAAAAAAAAAAAATCTACTAAATAATTAAATTTCCCAAGATTTAAATTCAGGCAAATACTGAAAATATATAAATCCTGAAATGTGCAACAATGGAGGATGTGGATTGAAATGATAGAAATGAATGACACAGTCAGTGATCTGACCTCAGAGTCTCCAGTCTGCAGTTTGGACTCTGCAGATAATCACACAGCAGCTTCACTCCTGAATCCTGCAGCTTGTTGTTGTAGCTCAGGTCCAGCTGTCTGAGATGGGAGGGGTTGGACTTCAGAGCTGAGACCAGAGAAGAACAGCTGATCTCTGACAAACTGCAGTCCCTCAATCTGAATAAAGAATAAAAGATGTAAATGTAGATGACAGTGAGCTTTATGCATGAATGTGTGATGTTGTCCACATGAACACACTGATGTGATCATCATCTGTTCATTCCAACATTTAAGGACTTGATTGTGATTCATTCATGTTTTTGTTCTTCCTGATCATTCTTAGATTCAAACAATCAAAGCTCCTTTGAGGAACTTTAATTGCGTGTCCGTTTTGGCGCCCCTGTGGACAAAGTGAAACTTCTTTACAAACTCTGACAAACTGCACTCCCTCAATCTGAATAAAGAATAAGAGAATAAAATAATGTATAATCCACTCACATGTGTTCAGGTTGTGAGGAGTATCTCAACATCACTTTGTCCTGATGAATAAAGTTTTCTCTAAATGATTAGAGGATCATTTCTGATTGTCTATCACTAAATCTAAATCCTCCACATGTCAGCACAACATTCATACAGCTGTTCATGTGCACAGATGAAGAACAGGCTGCTGATCTCAGTCAGCTCTGTGATGTTAGTACATTTATCAAATCAGACATTATTGAATCCAAAGTCTTCATGATTTCACTTCTTAACAGAACCAGAGGAAACCAGAGGCTTCATGTGCACGTTGTTCTTAATCTTCATGAAGAGTTTGAAACTTTTCTCCACATTATCAGAAATCTCTGCATGAAGATGATTCCTAAATCTGGAATACTTTGACAGGATATAGAAATGTTTTAAAAACTCAATCTAAACTTGTTCTAAATGATAAACTCTCTGACTGACCTTTCTCCTTTGTGTTTATTTTTGAACTCTTCAAGCAGAAAACTATCCCATCATATATTTCAAATCTGTCTGTATTTGTGTAATTGTAAGTGTGTCTGTTAAAGGTCCCACATTATGCTTTTTCTGGTTTTATTTGCTCTTTAGTGTGTTTTCCAAGTGTCCTGTGCATGTTTAGGCACATCTATGTGCAAAAATTCAAAGTCCTCGGAAACGCGGCTTCTCCTACGTCCTCCTGTTAGCTGTAGCATTAGCCGCATGTAACGCTCGGTTCTAGCCCCCTCGATAAGAATTTGTCAGTCCGACGTCATTGTCAGTGTGAGATCACTGATCTAAGCCCATTGGCTCGTTGTGGCAAGCCCTGCAGCTCATGTTGAAATTTCCGAGACGCGTGCTGAGCAACTGACCAATAACGACAGAGCGGATCGGCAGACCAATCAGAGCAGACTTGGCCCACGTGGGGTCTAACAGTGTGGGCTCAGCAGAGTGTAGCTGACGGACTCAGAGCGTAGAGGGAGCAAGGAGGAGCAGTTCATGAAAACAGACACTTTTTTCAAACTTTATCTATTGTGAACGTACAAAAGTTGGTACATAGATTATATATATACGAACCCCAAAAAGGGCAGAATATGGGTTCTTTAAGTAATGCTGTTTTGGATGTTTGAGTATTACTTTATATTTGTGTTAGGACGCCCCTTAAAGATGAGACGATGCATCTCAAGCTGCTGAGCTTTAATACATTCAAACACAGTTTCTATTACAGACATATATATATTGCAGTCAGTGATCTGACCTCAGAGTCTCCAGTCTGCAGTTTGGACTCTGCAGTCCCTCACACAGCTTCACTCCTGAATCCTGTAGCTTGTTGTTGTAGCTCAGATCCAGCTCTCTGAGAAGGGAGGGGTTGGACTTCAGAGCTGAGGCCACGACGTCACAGTGAGTCTCTGAGAGTCCACAGTAACAAAGTCTGTTGTGACACATATAATAGAGAATTATGACTCATAAAAGAAGCGTTTGATATATACGTCTCATATTTGATGATTAAACAGTTTGTCATGTCCTGTTTGGTCTTAACTTTACACATCAGTGGAATCTGTCACTGACACAAAAAGTCTCATCACTCGTTTTCAAACCTGCACATTTTTCATCTTTCAATCATTCACTAAATGTTGCAGATGAAAGGAAACAAATGTAGTTTTATTTAGGGTTACATCATGTCTATAGTCTGTGATCTAAAGTGTGATCTATTCAGAGGACTCTCTCTGGATTAGAAAACCATTTGAAACTCATTGAACAGTAACTCTGGAGGAGGAGGATCTCATTCTCGTGCCGCCTGGCTCTCTTCTATAAACGGGAAAATACAGTGACTGCTGCAGAATGATCCAGAAATCAAATAAATCAGCTAAGAATAATATGTAGTGAGGTAAAGGATCTCCTTCCAGAACAGTTTTTCTGTGATCTACCTGCTGAGATTTTAAGATATGATTCTCATGATTGATTTGTAATAACTGCAAAGCTGGAAGGGGCACTCACAGCATCTGATGTGCCTTTTTCAAACCAACCCCTACACCCTCCCCCTCTGTGAGTGCACTCTGTTAGAAGTCACACTCGCAGCTGAATGAAGTCCAATTCATCAAGGTGTAGGGTAGAAATACAGCGGCAGGCTTTGGGAAAAACTTCACTCTCTCAGGCGGAAACAGGAACTGTGTGTTACCATGGTTTCTCAGCGGCATCTTGCGGAGCGGCTTTTTCTTTTTAGCTAATGCATTCTGTGAAAATCCTGATGTAGATTCTCCTTATTCAGTAAGTTATATAAGTGTAGAATAATAACAAAAGTATTAGATGGAGCCTACATTCTTTATTTTTATTTATAATTTAATGTTCAGTTCATTTTTTTGTAATTTCAGAGAACAGGTTGTCCTAAATGAATACAAATAAAAGGAGGCTATTGTTGAACAAGTTTATTTTTTGTTGTAACATAAGGTTGTATTGACATTTAACAAAGACATAAAAAAGTAGAAAAATAAGAAATAAATATGAACAGTGAGAAGTTGTCTGCAACATGACTTAATATTGTTTTGTTTTCGCAACAGTCCCTGTAAATATAAAACACTTTACGATAAAATAAACACCTCAACTTGAGGAGAAAGAAGATTAAGCCAATATTTGATCCTTAATACAATACACATTTGAAGTTGTTAACGTCTGTATGAGAACATTAAATGTCTAAGAGCAGTGTTTGGAGGCACTTGCATGGAACTTACAGGTTGCTTCCTCCATGACGATGACCGGACAAGGGTTGCCACCTTCCAAGCAGAAAAATAAAGGACACCCCACAGCGGGGTGCAACTCAGTAGGGGCCTGACCACCACTGACCCAACGATGGGGTGGGGCACCAGCTGTGGTGAATCATGATTTAAAACGTTGTTTTAATGAAGTATTAAGAGTCATACTTAAAGTTTTAAGTGCTTTATTAACACTTTTTTTCCAAAATAATTTACAAACGCAAAACTTCAGTGTAAAGGCAGATACAGTAATGTATGCACAATGAAATGCACCTAACAGGACTTCAGCAGATGATTACTACTAGCTAGGCCTATTTAATTTACATCTTAACTTAAACTTCAAATAAAGTTAATAACTTAACATTCATTCATTAACAGAGTATTATTGAAGTGCTTTTGACACTGCTGTACCATAGAGGGGAGCAGTAAGATGACAGATTTTTTATTAAATGAACAGTACGAATTTAATTTTTTTGTTGTTTTCTCATGAATCATAGTATTAATATGGTTTTGGACTACTTTCTTATTGTATTAATTAAGTGTCTACTGTCGATATATTGATGTCGTATTGATGATATCTCAGGCCATAGTGTGATTACAGATTTGGCTAAAATAAATCATGTTCTTGTTTTATGTACTGAAAAATGTTCACGCTATCCAAACTATACTGGAATAACCTATCTATAAACATCTGAGAAAATATATTAAGTTTGCCTACAATAGTTTCCTTTATATTATATTCATTTTCACTGACACTGTCAAGCCAGACATTACTTTCTACTCACATCTGTATTTCTGTATCCGTTTACGTTTCAATGGTGCACGGTGCGGGTATCAGAGGCAGCTGCAGACATGTTTCCTACTGACTCCTAGGACTTTCTCTCAACCAATCACTAAAAAGCTCTCATTGCTCATGCCAAAAAAGAACCAAACAAACCAACAGACGCTCTGAGGAGGCGGGAAATAGCCGGCTAAATGCGGGCTGAGTTCAAGGCATCTTGGAAATACGGGACAATATCAGTGTAAAGTGTAAAATCGAGACAATTCCTTATTTTACGGGACGGGTGGCAACCCTGGGCCAGACACAACAGGCGCTGCAAGTGATCCGAAAGTTGGCATCGGTGCAGACTCGCTGGTGGAGGGTTTTATAACCCACTGCCCGCAAATTGGTTTGGGACAAACTTAATATGGCGGACCCTCCACGTGGACGCGCAAACGGAGGGGTAGTGGGTTGGGAGAGGGTGTAGTAGCTGGTTTGAAAAAGACCTGATATCTCACTCTTCAGGGATGAACACTATCAGCCAGTTCAGTCAGTTCTTTGGGAATTCCCTCCTGAATGTGTTAACAAAAGCAAATTTTGAACTCAGGACAAAAAGCTAAAAAACATCACGTGTGAAAAAGATTGGACTTACTTTGCCTTCCTGCAGTTCCTCACAGCTGGAATCAGTCTCAATCGTCCCTGGTCTGATGTCTTGTACTTCTCCAGATCCAACTCATCCAGAACCTCCTCTGACATCTGCAGCATGTAGGCCAGAGCAGAGCAGTGGATCACAGAGAGTTTCTTCTCTGATCTGTTCTCTGACTTCAGGAACTCTTGGATCTCCTGATGTACTGAGAGGTCGTTCATCTCCGTCAGACAGTGGAAGATGTTGATGCTTCTTTCTGGAGAGATATCATCACTGTTCATCTCCTTCAGGTTGTTGATGACTCTCTGGATAATTTCTGGACTGTTGTCTGTCTGACCCAGTAGGCCTCCTAAGAGTCCATGAAGGAAGCGAACAAACAGGTCCAGGTGACCATTTTTACTCCTCGTGGATTTCTCCATTGCTTCATTTAGGAGAACATCAAGAGTTGAATCTACATATTTTTTCCCCAGAAAATCCTCCAGTACTGTTGTGTCCCTGTTGGTGAAACAGTGGAACATGTAGACTCCAGCCAGAAACTCCTGAACGCTCAGATGAACAAAGCAGTAGACTGTTTTCTGGAAGATCACACATTCTGTTTTGAAGATCTCTGTACAAACTCCTGAGTACACCAAGGCCTCTGTGATATCCAGGCCACACCGCTCCAGGTCTTCTTGGTAGAACATGATGTTTCCTTCCTCCAGATGTTCAAAAGCCAGCCTCCCCAGCTTCAGAAGAACTTCCCTGTCAGCCTCCATCAGCTCATGTAGACTTGTCTCACGTCCCTCATCATACTTGTTCTTCTTCCTCTTTGTCTGAACCAGCAGGAAGTGTGAGTACATGTCAGTCAGGGTCTTGGGCAGCTCTCCTCTCTGCTCTGTGCTCATCATGTGCTCCAGAACTGTGGCAGTGATCCAGCAGAAGACCGGGATCAGACACATGATGTGGAGGCTCCTGCATGTCTTGATGTGTGAGATGATTCTGCTGGACAGATCTTCATCATCACTGAACCTCCTCCTGAAGTACTCCTCCTTCTGGGCGTCAGTGAAGCCTCGTACTTCTGTTACCCTGTCAACACATGAAGGAGGGATCTGATTGGCTGCTGCAGGTCGAGAAGTTATCCAGATGAGAGCTGAGGGGAGCAGATTCCCCTTGATGAGGTTTGTGAACAGTGTGTTTAACGATGATTTCTTTGTGACATCAGAAACAACCTCCCTGTTTTTGAAGTCCAATGACAGTCTGCTTTCATCCAGGCCGTCAAAGATGAACAACAGTTTACAGACAGCGAGCGTCTCTGCTGTGACCTTCTGTAATGTTGGATGGAAAACACGGAGCAGCTCAAGAAGACTGTACTCCTCATCTCTGATCAAGTTCAGCTCCCTGAATGAAAGCAGGATCACCAGACTGAGGTCTTGGTTCTCTGAGCCCTCTGCCCAGTCCAGAGTGAACTTCTGCACTGAGAAGGTTTTTCCAACACCAGCGACGCCGTTTGTCAGAACCACTCTGATGGGTTTCTGTTGGTCGGGTTGAGCTTCTGTCTTTTGGTTCTGTTGGTCGGGTTGAGCTTCTGTCTCATGTTTCTGTTGGTCGGGTTGAGCTTCTGTCTTTTGGTTCTGTTGGTCGGGTTGAGCTTCTGTCTCATGTTTCTGTTGGTCGGGTTGAGCTTCTGTCTTTTGGTTCTGTTGGTCGGGTAAGGCTTTAAAGATGTCCTGGCACTTGATTGTAGTCTCATGGAGGGTCTTCTTTTTAAAGTCTGTCTCAAGCTGTCTCACCTCATGTTGGGTGTTCACCTCTTCACTCTGTCCCTCTGTGATGTAGAGCTCAGTGTAGATCCTGTTGAGGAGGGTTCTACTTCCTGTATCATCACTTCCTTCAGTCACACGTTCACATCTCGTCTTCAGGCTGACCTTATGTTCATCTAAAACCTCCTGCAGACCTCTATCTACTGAAAGAGAGAATGATGGAATCTGCTTATTATTTTCAAATGTTTTTGTAAAAGAAGTAAAAAAGAGTTTTAATTTCTATTCTTTCTACATTTACAAATAAAAGTCCTGTTTTAGGAGGAGATCACAGAAGCAGAAAGGTGTACAGTCTTACTTCGTTCAGTGCTGCTCTGACTGACTGTCTGCAGTCCAGGTCCTGTTCTGGATCTTTTTCCACACTGAGGACAGGACGAGTCTCCTGGTGAACCGGACTGGTCCCAGTATGAGGTGATGCACTGTCTGCAGAACCAGTGTCCACAGCTGGTAGAGACGGGATCCTTCAGGACGTCCTGACACACAGGACAGGACGGCTGCTCCTCTATAACATGAGTCCTCTTCGTCCCCCTGTGAAGACATATCTTTAGAACTAAACTGATTGTTGACTGATAGAAAAAATGAAGATTTATCAAACACGATCCAAACACTCTGTTGATCATAGAGAGCAGGTAACGCCTTCTTTCTTATCTTTGTATTCAGCTCATAGTCTGCAGTGATATGAGTGTTTCTTGTGTTTTAACCCTCCTACTTTCATAAAGACTAAAGAACAACATTTTCTCTCTCACCGTCTTTGAAACATTAATGATCTGTGTGCAGTTTTTTTTTATTAAAGCAGACTGAACATCACGTGCAGTTTATTCAAAGAATGTGATCCTGTCATCAACTGTTTCACTGTCACTTCAGACAGCTGGGCTCGGGTTAGTCTGCCTTTGAACTGAGGTTAGATGTGGTGAAACATTTTGAATTACATTGTGGTGGATCAGCAGTATCAAGGCACACTCACACGTCAAGTCTGCATCCGCACATCGTAGAACAACACAGAGAACACAGTACGGATGACCTACTGTGAGTGTGCCCTTAGTGATGTTACGGTTTCATTTGTTGTCCTTCTCTTTATGGATTCCGTCTCTACTGTCCTAGGTCAGATTGTGACATAAAGGCAGTCCTAGACTTTGACACAACCTGACCCTGAACACATCATGGTCACTGGCAGGAGGGTCTTTAAACTATAGCTGCACAAATGATATTATTTGAATCATGATTCTGGCCATCCCACGATCAAAGGAACATGACTGACGAGGATTATTTACATTGACAAATAAGAGGTCTACTTTTTAAACTGCCTGTGGGGAGAATGAGCTGCCTTCTAATTTTAGAGCAACACCATGTCTACTTTTCCTCAACTCACTCAGTTTCTCTGCTTCTGTATGACCAGCAATTTTACTGCACATTCTCACAATTTGCTCCAACCTCTTCCTATTTTTCAGATTGACAGACCCAAACCAACAAATAAAAGAGAAGGTTAAAACAGACTCAATAAAACAGGAATAAAACATTCTCATAAAAACACGATCAACATTAAAATTCCTCAGTTTTCGATAAAAGTACATACGCTGATGTGCCTTTGCACAAACAGCTTCTGTGTTTGCTTCAAATGTGAGGTTGTTGTCAATGATTGTCCCCAGGTATTTAAATTGATTCACCACCTCAACAGCCTGCCCATTAATTGAGGTGGGGGTAACAGGTGAAGGCTTCCTCCTAAAATCAAAGATCATCTCCTTGGTTTTAGAGACATTTATTTCTAAAAAGGAGCGTTTGCACCACTCAGCGAAGTCTGCCACTACTGGACCATGGTCAGACTCCTGTTCACCAAGTAAAGACACAACTACCGAGTCATCTGCAAACTTGATTACTTGTCTGCCATCGTAATGACATTGACAGTCATTTGTATATAATACAAATAATAGTGGTGAAAGGACACAGCCCTGGGGAGAGCCAGCTGAAGACAAAAGAACATCCGATAAAACCCCATTTACTCTGACCTTCTGAGATCTATCAGTTAAAAAGTCAATCAGCCAACATATTAAACTAGAGTCAATGTTAAAGATGCTTGAAAGTCGATCTGCTAAAATGTGAGGTTGGATACAATTAAAAGGGTTAGGGGTTAGAAAAATCAACAAAAAGCAACTGTGCAGAAGTTTTTGCACCATCCAGGTGACTCTGGACCATGTGAAGTAAGGTGCCTACAGCATCCTCAACCCCCCTACCTGCCCTATAAGCGAGTTGAAGTGGGTCCAGTTTTTCCTGAGTTGCACCAAAAATGTAATTCTTAACAATCTTCTCAAAAGCCTTCATAACAAGAGAAGTGAGGGCTAGTGGCCGAAAGTCATTAAAAGATTTTGGTGTTTTTTTCTTGGGTACAGGTACAATTACAGAGTCTTTCCAAAGGCAAGGGACTCTCTTTGCAAGGACTTCATAAAAATAAAGGAAAAAATGTCAGCCAATGGCTCTGCACAGTTCTTAAGAAGTCGCCCACTGATATTATCTGGGCCGGGACTTTTCCTTTCTTTCACTCCCCTGAAGAGTTTAAAAACACAGTCTTTATCAATATGTATCTCCAATTGTTGTGGAGAAGCATTCTTGTACACAGACAGTTCTTCATTAAAATCATGTGAGTTAAAACGATTAAAAAATAATCTAAGGTGTAATGAGTTGGTAAGTTTTCTTACTTTGTGTCTGAGGGTCCAGGTTCTTTACTGAAGTTTGGATTTTCACCTTTGGACCGATCACTCTTCAGAGACAGACAGCTGGGTACAAGAGACTCTGCTCCGTCCTCCTCGTCCTCTAAACACACGTCCATGTTCTGATCTGAAGTCTGAGAGGAAAAAACAGAAACACTCACTGAAAGATCAACAAACAAGAAACAAGAAAAACCAGTTTGATCACACACACACACACACACACACACACACACACACACACACACACACACGTCATATTAATCTAAGTCGAAACTCTGTGTTCACAGGAGAAAACTGAGACTAAAGAAGTGAAGATATAAAAACTCTGGATAAACACTCACCCCGCTTCACTCTTCAGTTCTCTGCTGCTGTCAATTTAAAACAGAGTCTTTACTGACTGAACACTTTCACCGTCCCGCCTCCTCTCATGATGCTGGATCATGAGGTTAGTGTTGCCCCTCCCCCTCCATTTACAGGAAATCAGCTGGGTCTGATTTCCAGTGGTCTGAATCTAGTGTGTGCGTTCAGAGGATTATAATGTTAAATAATGAGAGGGAAGGTACACTGACAGAAATGCTAAGCACTCCAGGCTACGGGACTTCCGTCTGCCAGGATTTTGAACTTGTCAGGCCCGGGGCAGAGGGCTCTCTGTGGGTGTCAGTGTTTGATGACAGGGAGAATGTTAAACTGTAGCAAAAAGATGAGTAGCAAGTTCAACCCGGACACCGGGGATGGCGAAAGCACCAAGTGTCAGGCTGGTAAAGCGGGTGCAGAGGGATGAGTTGCAGCTCATAGCCCCAGAGCTAGCACTAGCTCCGGGCATTCCGGGGCTACAGCCACAGACCCACACTCGGCTCTCATCCCCGATGTCAAAATCCCGGTCGGACTCGCTTTATCTCCGCGTTTCAGTAACATTGAAGTTATTCTGTGACCCGATACAACTTCCCTATCTAAACAGAACTTTCTGATCCTAGCTGTCTCTCTTACTCTACCCCGTAGGCTAAATAAACAGTTCCACAGCGCCCCTACAGGCCTGGAGCACTTCCGTTTAAGGATTAACTTGCAGCGTTTCTGTGTTTGCTGTTGTTTTCTGGTTGTGTGTGTTTTGACTTAAGTTTCGTTTCTGTACTTGCAGCGCGTTTGATGCTTATGCAGTTGTTTTGCCTATTTGCAGCGCGTTTGTGTCTTTGCAGCGCGTGTCAGCCTTTGCATTTGTTTTGGTAGTTTGCATTTGCTTTTGAATGTGCAGCGTTTCTATATATGCTGCACGTTTTTCTAAATGTATGTCGTTTCATCAGTTGCTGAGCGTTTGACCCCTTCCGGCCACCGTAGTGTTGGCCTTGTGTACAAAATGTGTCTGACAGACTTGTAAATACCTGTGGTGGCTTTGCTTTTAGGTATTTTTGTGTCAATTCAAGTTGAGTTTGTATGTTGACTTCCTTGAAGTCTTTTGTTTTGACCAGTTTGCATAATAAAATACACACTTTAAGTCTATTGTTGTGATTGCATTTAGTGACTGTAGTTGTACTGGTAACGGTTATAACAATTAGTAATTGTGTGCATTACTCCCACTGATTTTTTTATTCTATCTTCTTATTTATATTTACATAATAACCAAAACATTATCCAGGTTTCAAGATTCAAGCCATTGCCATTGGGCAGAACAATGAAAATGTAAAATATCTCCCTGAGCATTGTCATGCAGAATATACCAAAGGTAATAAGAAAATAGGATAATATATTAAGAAGGAAAAGCTAAAGAGATCAAGATAAAATAGTTATTTATTAGAAAAACACTGACAGTCTATACAAATACAATCAAAAGCACGTTTTGGCACTTATTTACACATTCAGCTGCTTGAGGGGGTGGGGGGTGGGGGGGGGTTCTTCACCATCCTGGAGCTTTGTTATGATGGACCTGAGCTCTGATGATGCACAGCTGTAGATACAGGCAGACAGAAAGATTAGGAGCAGCTTCTCCCTGTGAAATGTAGTCGTAGTCTCTTTCAAGGCGTTCACACTCCAGCTCTTTGATTTTTATTGCAGCAACTTCAGGACCTTGGACAATAATATCATTTTGTATTAGAGTGGTTTCCTATTTTCAAAACTGTTTAGGTAACAGCAACAATACATTTTTATGTTAGATAACTGTAATACTAAATACTTACATCTTGTTTCCATCACGGTTTCGAGCAGGAAGTCGGGGGTTCTGGTGGTTATAATCAGTAGCTGTAAGCAAGTCAGTGTTCTGTATACAGGTGTGACCATACTGCTTCTCTGCATACATGAGGGTGTGCTTTTGTTCTCCAAATCTGAAGTTGTCTGTTGGGTCTGTTGGGTAGAAAAGGCAGACAGAAAAAAACCTGCTTTGTTAGTGACATACTTCTCACATCCACTTCATACTGCACCAAATAACATAAAGGTGAGCAGAGTCCTCAGCTTGAAAATCAGCTGGAGAGCTAGAAAGAGTCACAATATAAATGCAGAGTGTGTCATTTCAAATAAATGTTGTAATGGTCCTAAATCACAATGATACAGCCATTGTCGATGTGAAAAAGTGCAAATGTGTTTGTATAAAAATAATTACAATTACAAGGTGTCCAGCTGCTCAGTGGGTAGGGACTTGGGCTCTGCTGTGCTCCCTGTGTAGCAGTCCCACTCTGACACCTCTCCACTAATGCATGTCCACAGCTCCTGTGTGTGTGTGTGTGTGTGAGAAGCAGCGTTAGTTTCAACAGCAACATGAGGGCAAAACTTTTCACCGGTGACAACGTTTGCAGAAGCGCTGCACAGATAAGTAGCAGCCGGAGCTGACGTAACCTGGACCCGGCCACAAGAGGCGTTTGCACTTGCGCTGTCCTGTTGCTAGGTGGCGCTGCAGCCCGCTGCCTACACGGCTGGTTGTTGTGCTGCATGTGTAAGTCTGTTTCATGTTCATGTGATTTTAAGGAGAGATCAGACACATTGATATTAAGTAAGGAAAATGTTAAATTAATGTAAAGAAAGAATCCAAAGGGAGGATCTCAAACAGCAGAGGTGCAGCTGCAGGTGTTACATTAATGGTGCAATTGCGCCCTCTGCTGGATCCACAGAGGTTTAGCATTTTTCAACTAGTATCTGATTATTTACAGTCAATGCTCCATCCACTATCAACATGACAACACGAGGCATCACAACAGCAACAATATAAAGTCAAATCAACTTAATCTGTGTCAGGATGGAGATGAGTTTGAGTTCCTCCTCATAACAAACGTCTTATAGGACAAGTCTGTCGGCCTCTTCTGTCGGGACTGCATCAACGGAAACACCTACAATTGATGTTCACTTTTGACAGCAATGTATTTTTTCAATGTGGGTCCTTGAGGGTCAGCTTTTTTTAGACACAAGTCGGGGGGCTCCATTAAAATGCGTTGGGATCCCCTACTTCCGGGTCTCTTAAAAACTGGTGATGCCTTTAAGGACCTGCTATGACACTTTCAGAAATGCTGCTCTAGCTCCTCCTCTAAACAAGGACCAGGTTCAAGCAGGGGGGAGAGCATCTGGCCCCCTTTATTCTCCTCTCAACCGCCTTAATTACATGACACAATGGCGATGAGATCTGAAATCTTGGGCGCCAAGTAGAAATAAATGAATACAGATTAAATGTTGGTTTGAACACCCACTCTGCTGTGCTCTGCTCACACCCACAGACGTCGCGGCTGAAGACTCCTTGGACGAAGACTTCCGTCGCCGCAGGCAGAACGCACTCCCCGGAATCGCCCTGCACCAGCGCTACCTGAGGAACTCCGCCCAAAACCCCTCGGAGGAAGAGGAGGAGCACGGCCTACAGAGTCTGGGACTAACAAGAGGTTCGCCCACCCGCCAATGCAGGGGCTGATTAATTACCCGCACACACGGCTCCCCTTTAAAGACATGCATACCTCCCTACTCGTACGGCTCCTCAGAAAACATGTTTTTAACTTCTACTGCAAAATGAAAGTAAGAGTTTAAAGGAGCAGTATGTAACTCTGACACCTAGTGTTAAAAATGGGTAGTGCAGTCCAAATTCTAAACATTGTAGAGAGCTGTCTCCCCCCCTCCTCTCTAGAGTCGATGCTCACACAGGTTGCCATGTGGTGGACACTGAAGCTTCAGTGTTTAGCCAGCTCTGCATCGGTCTGTAAACCTTTCTGCCGTTCTCACCTCTACCATCCAGACACCCAAATACTCAAATAATAATTGAGTCAAGGAACTACACATCCCACAATCCATTGTGAATAATACCTCTTCTTCTTAAATGTAACTTAAGTCGTTGTTATCGTGTTTATTCTGTGAACTCAAGTGTTGTAATACCTTGTGTTGTTGAAAATATAAATTACATTCACTGCAACATAACGAGGTGATTAGCACTTTTCCTGTTAGCTTTCAAAACTATTGTCACATATGTTGCAGAGAGGGAAACATTGCCATGGTAACAGCGAGCTCCACCAATCAGAGACGAAGCTGTGACACTCTATGGTCGTGGGTAGTGTAGTTATTTTCCCCGATATCTTGAATAAACCGTGTTAGCTGGTGGTCAGTCTACCTGTGGTGGTTATGACATCACTGCTAATAATAATATCGGCTATGGAGAAAATGAATGAGGTTTTTACTTCCTGAACCACACTGTTGAGCACTTGTCTTTCCATTACTTCCTACTTTAAAAAAAACATTTTACAGCGAGCAAATGTTGTTTAATTCATCTTAAGAAAATTAAATATTAAGCACGTGTTGCAGCGTATAAACCCTCCTCTATAGGAGTCTTATAAGAGAGAGGGACTGCATCATATTATATTTGATAACATATTTACTGACACTGTTTCCTCTTCTTCTGTTTCAGGACACACGGACACCAAGAGGAAGAAACTGTGGCCGAAGGAGGCCGAGTCCAAAAAGAAAAGAGCTGCTCGACACTTCCCTCGGTTTGGTGGACTCGGAGCCTTTTTTTAAACACACACACACACACACACACACACACACACACACACACACACACATGAAAATGTATAGTTGTCGGCAGAAGCGCCATCCATGATTAGTGTAATATTGCGGTGTAGGTTAGGGTTGGGGTCAGAGGTCGGCCTGCAGAGATCTCACCTTCATGTTGTGTTTTTGTCCAAGAAACATTTTTAGTAGTGAAGCTTTTTTTAATCGCTGTATTTATTGTGGGTGGGCCCGACGGATGTAAAGTGACACGTTTAGACACTTAATCTCCCGTGATTGGACTTCTTGTCTTTTTAATTTTGTGTTTGAATTTTAGGCCGGAGCAGAATTCAAGCAGCCGTCTTGTTTTTTGATACGATGGAACAATAACTGGGGTGATAGCGTGAATAGAAAAGAACAGGCGAAGGTCAATCTGCTCAGAGGACGCTTATTTACGACTAGAAGAGAAAGACGTCTTCAGT